TTTTGCATATCGGTGGAGGCTCATGTGGTGGATATACCGGGCCGTATGGACGCGGAGCAAAAGCGGCTGCCGGGAGGAAATTATCCTCCCCACTAGGCCGTTCTAATCCCGAGCGAAAAAAAAACTCCTGGCATATATCCACGGCACCGCGACGGGCGGCTGAATGTTTTGCTTAGCTGACGATATATCCAGTGCATAAAATCCGACTATAACCAGGCCTCACCTCCTACCTTCGTAGATGCGAAATGCGAGAAAATACGGATTGTGAAGCGGCCCGCCTCTATGCAAGTTGACGGTTGAGACCAGATGGGGCCCGCTGCTTAGCCGCTCTCTTGCCTTCACAGATACACCAAGTTTTGTAATTTCTATGCTTACTTATGCGTGACGAGTACGGATACAGAGGAGAAGATGAGTCCATTTGCTAGATAGCTTGGAAGAGCCGTTTCAGCTTGACTATATGAGATGGATCAGTGAAGCCCTGACCGCAACATCACACAGACGAATAGGAACGAGGACTTGGTGGCAAACATCCAAATAATAGAACTCACAGGAAGCCGCCGCAAAGCCCTTACGAGGACTAACAGGCGCCGAATAGGTTGATCAACAGAAACAATGCAGAGAAGGCGCGACGAGCGCTCCCAAGGGGTACAAGAAAATGGGCTCAAGGTGGCCTTGTAAGACACAATTCACTGAAAGGGAAAAGAGTGGACAAGAGGCTAGATTCCGGTTCCCTAAAATCAGGACTGGTAAAGAAAGAACTGTATAAGACTGTAGAACTGATTACCGGAGACTCAATAATAAAATATGACACTAGTGATAAACTATAAAACTTTGAAAAATGGAAGGAAGCAAGAAAACGATGTCTCTTATCTTCTAGACCCAGAAATTCCTCCTTCCCCCCCACCTAGAATCTATTCCCTTTCCCCGGAAAGAACTGACATGTGCCGGAGCCACCGCTAGTATCTCTATCACTGTCCCAGTACTCTCCTAGGGAGGATGGGAATCAGTTGATCGATGTAGAGGAAAGTAGAGGAGCTTAAAGTTCTCCCATGACTAGATAGAAGTAAGTAGAAATTGCAATAATTCTATGGGGATTAGTATAATGCCCAAGTAGTTAACCCGGCGATCCTCTGAAGTCCTTCTTGGAGACGCGGAAACGCCGGATTATCTACTTCCTACTCACTTGAATCCTCAAGACGGAGGGCAGCGACGGCATCGCCGGAGAAAGATGAAATTACAACGATAGATTTCAACTCCTTCGACTCCTCTGCATATGACCAGAAATGATGGTTGGATAGCAGCACCCACGATACTGCTTCCCTAAGTCGGATGGCTTGAAGATTGTTGTAGTACTAGAGGGGCTTGAGGCGGCCTTCACCTACGAATCTCCCATGATAATCGTACGAACCTCCATCTCTCCTTCCCGACCTCAGTCAGACACTTGCTATATGACAGCCTCAAGGGGGAAGGAGCTCTCCTTCATTCCTTCCGCCATTACTATACCCACAAAACGGACCCAGCCATTGCTTTATATACGAGGATACAGAGCCAACCTACCAGCCGAGTTGTTCAAGTGAGCCTGCACTCATGATGGTCTGGCGGGCCAAGACCAAACGACTCAATAGGTTAGAAAACGACCCCGGATTGTTTTCGTAGGCGATGGTTTCAACCCCCGGAGCCGAGCTTTTTTGCCCTTTTTTTTCCACCCTACATCAACCAATTTTCTCGATTATTTTCGGTCATCATGAAAGTAAATTGATTCTGCTGCGGAAGAACGTTAAAAGAGGCGACGTGCAGAAAAGACACGACAAGCCGAAGGTTGGAGAAAGGCAAATCGGCAACGACAGTCAGCTATCTCCATACATTGGCTCCTACAAGGTGGGCGGCCATGACCTTGGACGTGCAGGATAGTCAAATACGGCGGAAGATCAAATGGTGGGGGAAGATCTGCAACCGATGCCATCAACACTACGAAGTAGACCGAAGAAGATGACGCTCGGCTCCTCGGTTTGTTACATTGACGTAGACTTCGTTGCATGGGCGGGCGAATCGCCAGGCTGTCACTCGGCAACCTAGCCAGCGTAGCAGCGGCGGCATCGGATTCCAGGGCCGAACCTCAAAGAGCCGTAATGTAGCAATGGGCTGGGGGAGAAGGTGTGGTTGGTGGCGTAAGTAGGCCTACTGCGTTTCTACTCCGTAAGAGGCTATTCGGAGGAAGAAGGGGCGCCAATTGGGTATGGGAGAGCATCGGGCGTTGATGTGAAAGGCACCGACTCTGCAAGGGCGGCGTGCAACGCTACATAGAGATGCCGAGCTGATGTGGTGGGAAGGGTGCTGGAAGAGGAGAGGGTGTGTGTGTGCATGTGTGTGTGTCTGGATCTAGAATAGAACATTTGAAGCTGCTGTGATCTGTCTCAAAGATTAACTATGATTGATGGCTAGAACTTCCCGGAAACCCTTGCCACCCTCAAACGGCCTGGGTGAACGCGCATATTCGTGTCCTGCAATGTTTCCAGTGCCGCCATACGATATTCAGATTAATAGGGTCCGTTTTTGAGCTCGGAAAGGTAGGATCGGACAGCCCAACCGGAGAATCATGAGAGGGAGGACGGATTTTCCATGATCCATTGCTACTAATCTCTCGATTGATGTTACCCCTTACCAAAAATAACCAGTCTGAGGTCGGTGATGACGACGTCACGAAGGAGATGAAAGGAGATGCAGAGGAAACATTGAACATGACCGGCGGGTTTCGGGTGCCAACTACCGGGCCGGCTGGCCAAACACAAGCAGAAACAATGGATCTGATGAATTGATCTCATTCCATTCTTCAATGCCTCTTCAGACTCGGGTTGGTTCATGTTCCATGCAGCCTTGGGTCCTTCAATTGAAACCAATTTGTGATCCCCACCTGTTCCTGCGAAGTACCCAAGTACCAAGGCACCTGATTACAACCTCTGAAGGAGCGTTCGAATCTCTCCATGCGTGGCAGGAGCCGATGAAAATTCCAGGAAGCGAGGAGCCGAGGAGCGCCTTGCACATATGAGCTAATATGGCTCGGACGAGCCAAACCGTACATCTGCTTTTTACCATGACCTCCGACGTTTTAATCAATAACGAACCTGGAATTTGGCCTCGGGTCTCTATGGCTCGGCCGTTCTGATGAGCTTTAACCGGGGAAGGAAGTTCGGTGCTGTCTTAGCTGGTAGAACGGCCTCCATCCCAGGGACGTGACCGTGAACATGGAGATGAACTGGATGGCCAGCCACCGGAACGACGGGGCGCGCACACGCAACCGCCATGTTGTCGTCGCATTGCTGGCAAGCTCCGCACTGGAGCCCTCCGTGGCCTGGGCATCGTGTGATGGGCCGATACTACTAAAACCACAACTAGCTATTTGCCACTGCTGGCGAATGTGTGGCATAGTTTGGTTCTCACCGGACGAGCAACGATCTTCGTGCGAAGGATAGCCCGGGCTCTCAGATGCGCTTCCAAAGGCTGCAAGAGGGGAAAGACCCAATGTGTGCAAGCGACGGTCGAATGACTGCCTCTTTCGGTCTGGCGGCAACCATATCAAGAGAGGTAGTTCAAATTTCCCTGGCGACCTTGTTTGGTAACATTGAAGATTTAATGCCTCCAATGGGAGGGTTGGAGATCTTCGTCCCAATTTCGATCCCCCCAATCTTCCCCATCCTTCCCCATATTTTACCCCTCTGCACACTGGCCGAATCGAGATATGGGTGGGTGGGTGGCAGGGTCGGGAAGCAGGGTCCCCTGTCTGTTTAGCCCCATCGCATGCTAATTTTTCCGTGCCTGTCCGGCTCCAGTCCGTCCAACCATCTACACTCCCTCACTGTTCTCACCGGACTCATGACCAGGAACAATGATGGCTCCGGCCGTCTTGTCTCCTTTTCTCACGTTCTCGGCCCAATCCAAGCCCCATTTCCCTGGCTTGCGCTAATGTAATCAGAAAATAAGGCATAGAGGCTGCTGCGCTTGGTTAGCACTAACACTAACACGGGCTTTGACGAGTCCTTCCTCAATCTAAGCTCTCCTGATGGACGAGGCAGTATTCCCGTTAGGACAAGGAACATCCAAGGCCGGGGGTGGCGCACGGCAGACACTTCGACAGTGCTACCTCACTCACGCTTTCCAGGACCTGATGGAAGCTTTCTTGTCGACGCTTCTTCATCAAACTGGCACAGTGGCAGCTACACTAAGCCCGGGGCAGCACGACTCCCGCTTCGCCAATTGGAGGAATCGTGAACTCTGGTCCTGCAGTGCCCGAGAGAAAGCCCGCTTCTTCTTTCATCGTGCTGCCCACCACTGCCGTTAAGCCGCTTCCTTGGCACCAGAGTTTCTCCTAAATGAGTCTAGCTGCTTAACGTTATGGCGTTCCCCGGAAATTCTAATCACTACCTGAGCCGGGGCTGAGGCTTTTCGGACTACCCCCCCTGGCAGGTTACGTCTTGCGCTCTCGGCTTGTCAAGCCCAGAAGGCATGCCATGAGAACCCCGCGAATGGCCTAATGTGACCAGTCTAATGAGCCGACGATTCGACCAAGTACTTCTACCGTAGTATTGATGTCATGCCTTAAGCGTTTCCACTGTCCTCGTTGGCATTGGGCGTCGGCCCGTTCGGCCGTCTTGCGCAGCAAGTAAGGCTCCTCCCTGGGACATGGACAGGGTCGTTTCCTGCCATTCTGGTGAGCTCCTCGAACTAATGCGCTCTCCTGGCGGGCATGGCGTTGGAATTTCTCTGGCTTGTCGTCAAGGCCAGACAAGGGGTTCAAGTATCTTGATGGACAGGGGCAGGAGAAGATCCACGATCGAGGACATCTATATAAGAGATCCGATATCCTGCCCTTCCTCTTGCTATTTCCTTCCTCTCATCCAGCACCCTCTCGCACGCTCCTTCTCCCACCACATCCAGTTCGTTGCCTCAAGAAGCTGCACAGTCCCTGGCTCGTCTCTAGTCAAATACACAAAAACACCGTCAAAATGTTCAAGAAGCTCAGCGCTCTTTCCATGATCCTTGGTGCGGTCTCCGCCCAACAGGTCTGCACCCAGACTCCCGAGACCCACCCCAGCCTCACCTGGCAGAAGTGCACCGCTGGCGGCAGCTGCTCCAACGTTGCCGGCTCCGTCGTCATCGACTCCAACTGGCGATGGACTCACACCGTCTCCGGCTCCACCAACTGCTACGACGGCAACACGTGGGACAGTTCCATCTGCTCGTCCGGCGCCACTTGCGCTTCTCAGTGCTGTCTTGAGGGTGCCGACTACACTACCACCTACGGTATCACGGCCAGCGGCAACAGCCTCGACCTCAAATTCGTCACCAAGCACCAGTATGGTACCAACATCGGTTCTCGTGTCTACCTCATGGAGAACGACACCAAGTACCAGATGTTCAACCTCCTCGGTAACGAGTTCACCTTTGATGTCGATGTTTCCAACATCGGCTGCGGTCTCAACGGTGCCCTCTACTTCGTCGCCGTATGTCAACTACCCCTCACCTTGCCCTCTGCTTATCGGACCCTGTGCTAACCTCGAACTGTGTAGATGGACCAAGATGGTGGTATGTCCAGGTACTCTGGAAACAAGGCTGGTGCCAAGTATGGTACTGGTTACTGCGATGCTCAGTGCCCTCGTGACATCAAGTTCATCAACGGTGTTGCCAACTCCGAGGGCTGGGAGCCTTCCTCCAACGACGCCAATGCTGGTGTTGGTGGCATGGGTAGCTGCTGTGCTGAGATGGATATCTGGGAGGCCAACAACATCGCCACCGCCTACACGCCCCACCCTTGCACCAACAACGCGCAGCACTCTTGCACCGGCGACAGCTGCGGTGGAACCTACTCTGACGACCGATACGGCGGAACTTGCGATCCCGATGGTTGCGACTTCAACTCCTACCGCCAGGGCAACAAGACCTTCTACGGCAAGGGCATGACCGTCGACACCACCAAGAAGATGACCGTCGTCACCCAGTTCCTTACCAACTCGGCCGGCACCCTCTCGGAGATCAAGCGCTTCTACGTCCAGAACGGTGTTGTCATCCCCAACTCCGAGTCCGTCATCCCCGGCGTCCCCGGCAACTCCATCACCCAGGAGTTCTGCGACAACCAGAAGACCGTCTTCGGTGATGTCGACACCTTCAACTCCAGGGGCGGTTTCGCCCAGATGTCCAAGGCCCTCCAGGGTTCCATGGTCCTCGTCATGTCCCTCTGGGACGACCACTACGCCAACATGCTCTGGCTCGACTCCACCTACCCCGTCGACGGCACCGGCTACGGCACCGAGCGTGGCTCTTGCCCCACGAGCTCCGGCGTCCCCAGCGAGATCGAGGCCTCGGTCCCCAACAGCAACGTCATCTTCTCCAACATCAAGTTTGGCCCCATCGGCAGCACCTTCAACCAGAACGGCGGCGGTAACCCCCAGCCTAGCAGCTCCGCCACGGTCCGCCCGACCTCCACCACCTCGGCCACTAACCCCGGCCAGACTGGTGCCGACCACTGGGGCCAGTGCGGTGGTATTGGCTGGACTGGCCCTACCACTTGCAAGTCTCCTTACACTTGCACCAAGCTCAACGACTGGTACTCCCAGTGCCTGTAAATACTTTTCCTCCTTTAGGAAAAGTGGGAGATGGAGTGCGAAAAGGGCAAAGTCATGGCTAAGGATGAGATTATGTGAGAAATTGTGACGGCTTTTTTCCCCCCTTCTTTTCTTGCAGTCCCTTCTTCGTATATATATTTTCTTCATTTGCATATATATTACTTTTTTCCTTTCTTCTTAAATATAAGTCTTCTGAAATATCTGTCTTGCACTTGGCTGTGATTGCGATTGCGAACTGTGATTGTAGATAATAAAACAATGTTACTCCTATACTACCCTTAGACTTTCTAGTATATTTTGAACTTATTTCCTATCCAGGTAGATCCACTGGCGTACGAAAATTTACTCTCGGTACTACGTTTAAAACATTAGTTCCCTGTCAGATTTGCATTACCCTCTGCTTCTTTTTCAGGAGCTGGCTCCTCCTCTTTCTTCTTGGCTTCTACGCTGCAAGGTATCGGGCTACAAATGTTTCGGTCACTCGACCCCACTTTGGAGTATGGGCCGACCCGACCGGGACGGGGCCGGAATGAGGATTCGAGAGGCACTGACTGTGCGTCTGTCAGGTCGCCCGAATTATCCGGTCCAAGATCTCGGGCCCGTTCGAGCTGACCCTGGACGTCATGTTTTCCAACGCCGCTGTGTAACGATCATGTTTTGGCGAGCTTGATACGTTGGGCACACAGCAGCACGATCCGCTGTCTGGAGGCCTCAGGAACGTCAAAGGCGAGCTCGAAAGCTACCCTGACCTGTCGACCAGCAGAACTTCACTTCCGGCGACGTAGCCGGGCGAGTCTGGGTCGGTCTTGACCTCCCAAAGGACGCAACTTCGCTCCTGATGGCACCCTCTCTTCGTGGTGCCAATGAAGAGCGGCAAGGTCACGTGTGAAGCCTTGTGGTGGGCTGGGCTGAGCCCCCTCATCCCGCGCAGTATGGGGGGGGGGCTGAGATTCAGCTTTGGGTCTGCCTTGGGTTCTATTAAACGCCCAGAGCACTGGGCAGGTGTTGTGGTGCTGCGCCTTTCTCTGCGTAAAGAGTCGTTGATTATTGATGTATCGAGTCGATCTAAGATGCCGCCATTCTGGAAGAGATCCAAACGAGACTCTGCTCCAAAAGCAGGGCAGAGCAATATCCAACCAACCCCAGCCGCTGAGAACCCTTTCCGCAGCCGTGCCGATGAGCTCTTCAATGAAGGTGACTATGCTAACGCCGCCTTCATGTACAGCGAAGCGGTGACTGCAGCTGGCAGCCGCGACAACACGACCAGAGCGCCTCTGTACGTGCAGCTTGCTCTTGCGCAAGTGATGTGTTCGCCTCCGCAGCTGGACAAGGCTCTGTCCAACGTCAACACGTCGATCCACCTGGACCCATCAGCTGGCAGTGCGTGGAAGTTGAAGGGAGACATACTCGACAGCATGGGTGATTACCACGCAGCGGCCGCAGCGTTCACCCATGCCGTGTCCATCTTGCCGACCTCTGATAGAGTTCAGGCACAACAGGCACTGGCAAGTGTTCGAATGAAGATGGGTTCCATAGCATCGTCGTCGACCACTCCACCAACCATTACACACACACCCGCTGCAGTCGCTCAGTCCTCGCAGCCATCCAGCATTGCCCCAAACACTCCTATCCAGCCTATTCGTCAAAATCCGTCGCCCACTACGCAGACCTCTCTGTCGCCAACGGGCACGATCCCAAATCGCCGTGCTGTGCCGACACATGCCCCATCGCCACGGGGCCTAGGTGTGGGCTCATCGTGTAAATGGCATCAAGACCTTCATAAAATCCACTCCTGCTAATCGTGCATAGCTTCATCTTTGATCCCGCCCTCTCCGATACCTCGTGCCCCCACTCCGAATGCGATGATGCAGAGTCAAATGCTGGCCGAAGAGCTCGACATGCCCTCTGAGGCGCCTCCCTCGTACAGTACCAGTACCATGGGCGCACCCCGAACTGCATTGGGCGGCGTGTTTTCTGAGAGCCAGTTTGGCGACTGGCATAGAGCGTTGAACCGAAACCGCCTGGGTGGACTGTATCTTCGTCCCTTCACCGCAGAGGGACAGGTCGACTCCATTTGTTGCTTGTTCTGGGGCAAGACATATGTGGAGTCCTTGTTGTTTGATATCACGTCCCAGGCAGCTGGCCATCGATCTTGGAGTATGTTTAGACCGGTATGGAATGACGCATAGGCTAACGCAATCTGCAGAGGAATACCACGTCAGTACGATCAGCCACCCAGGGACGAATTTCCTAGACTACGATTGCGAAACGGCGTCAAGCTATGACGGTTACCACGTGGGCACCACCTCTGTTGTGGGCTATTCTGAGGAGTACAGAGAGTTCCAGTTGTCCCAGACGGTGCAGTTTCAACTTTCCTTGGAGGAGAGAAATTCCCCTCCGCCAATGACCCTTGATGCTATCGTTGAAAGGATCCAGATGTTGCAGAGAAATCCCGCCCACGAGGATAATACCCGACTGAGACAGATTCTCGGGCTACCTGCGTACGTGTGGAAGTCCAACAAGGTATTCTGAAGTGAAAACTGACTTCGGTGTCCAGCTCCCCAGCCGTGACGACTAGAATTGCCATTGAGGATATTTGCCTTACCTTTAACCGTGGGCAGCGCGCTGAACCGAACCGTTTCATCGACTTTCTCACTACGGCTTCATTCACGGGCCATGTTTTCGGAGGGCCGGGGATTGGTCTGACCAATTTCCTGCTTCATATCCTACTCGGCGCGGAGCTCGCCCTTCGACAGGCCAAGCTAGGCTCGCGACAAAATTACCCGGGCGTCATGAAGGCGACGACGTCGGCACTGGTTGTCATTGCGCGTCAGTGGATGGAGAATGTCACCATCCGAAAAGGTCTAAATGGCAAGTACACCCTGACTGCGATAAACCATGCAATCCGAACCGAGGGCCTGCTACGCTTCGCAGAAGCCATTGGGTGGCCATACATGGATGAAGCGAGGCAGAACATTGAGGGCATGTATGCCAAACTTTCCTCACAGCCTGCAGAGATACACAACTACCTCAAAGATTGGCTATACGGGTTGGTGCTTCCGGGCAAATTCTTCAGGCAGCGACTCCTGAGTTGTCTGGTCCTGGCATGTCCAACGACGAAGCACCTCAGCTCTGCACCATATTATTCGAGCGGCCTGGTCGTTGGAAACAAGAGCTACTGGCCTAAGAGAAGTATACTCGCACGCGTTCTTGGAGGCATGAGCAATATCCAATCAACTTGTGGATGGATTGGTCCCGTTCCGGCACCCACCAAGACCGAGCCTAGTTGGATCCTGTTGCATGCCCGAGTCGTCAACTTTGTTCGCCCGGTGGTCGACAACCTGGCAGAGACGAACCTGGAAATCCTTGGGTTCTCGGAGGCTGAGATGAGCAGAGATCCTATTGGGTTGACGACAGAGCTCTTGGATATCAATAAGTGGCGCCCCCCAACCGGGCTGCCGCCGCGGCCAGGAGCTCAAGGGCCAAACGGTCACGTCGGCGTCACGCTGCAAGAAATCCGGCTCAACTCCATCGAATCTACCAACGACATTCGACGGCACCGCGCAAGCCTCGACTTGATGTGCTACGGCACTAAGGTCACATTCACGCTCTACTCCAGCCCGCTGTTCGTGCATGTACCCAAGTGTCAGGGGACGTCTCACCCGATCCACGAGAGGCTGGCGCAAAAGCGGTTCTCGGGCATAGTGTTGGCGAAGGACCTGAAGAATGGGGCGCCAATTCCATCATCGGAGACCCTGATGATTATCGATGCCACGCAGCCGAATGAGGATATCATGGCGAGGGCATGGTGTGCAGAGACGGGAAGGCACGCTATTGTGAGGAAGGCCAGGATTGGGTGTTTTGCGTGTGCGACGAGTTTGGCAACGAAGAGAACAGGGCTTGGATTTAATGTGCTTATTTGGTGTGAATGAGAAGGACCCCGAAATGAACAACGGCGTTTATGATACTTTAATATACTCATTTGTAGTGTCACCATTCCTTCACGTGACCAGATTTGCAGGAATCAGAAAACGGCATGCTCGGCAGCGACATGCAAATTCCAGGAACCACCGCCGCCTATATACCTTAGCCGCCAACAGCCCCCTAGTGCCATAAGTTGCGATTTAAGAATCATGCAAAGCGTATCCACGATCACGATATGAGGCTCAAGGGCACCCTACACGACGAAAATAATCCTCAAGCCCAAGAAGACAGTACATGGAGGGGAAGAAGAGGGTCCGGGGCCACACCGTTATTAATAGATTCCCAACTTTCATCGTAGTATTTCGGCGATATCGCTTTCGATGTTCGATCCCTCTCTAGTTTCCCCTTCCCTCTCTATGGCACCCGCCGCTGATGATTACAGGGTTTGCCCATCGACGTCACAATGTCCTCGATTTTCGGTGATAGTTCCTCGTTCCAGATTATTGCTGCTGCCTCTGAGATTTGACAAGCAAGAGATGCTGTGTTGTTGATATGTGAATATTTCCACACTGCAAGCAGTTCTTGTTAACAAGGCATTAATACTGAGGTATATGTAACAAAGAGGAAATATCACGTGCAGTGAATCCTGGTTGTGGATAATGTGGCTCTGTGGCTGTGCATAAGGCTGGTGCTAATGCAATCTGGATGACTTTTTTTCCAATTCCTCGAGCCAACGCGACAGCAACTGGGACATCATCGAAGCCTCGAAGAGCTCTACGCGACAAGATATTTTTGGTGGATGTCATCCCTCGATTCTCACATCAACCAATCACCCCAAACACTTCTTCTCTATATCGTTCCCAGCATCTCTAGTCGGAAACCCCACACCTCGACCTCCTTTCATTTTTTTTCGCCCATTCCCTTTTTTTTTCGCGTTGTCACAGACTTGCGTTCAAGGCTGTCCCATCTCCCACCTTAAAGACCCTTAGTTCAACGACACAAAGCTCGCGCTTCCGACATCTTCGAGCGGCCCGAGCCGTCCAATTCGTGGACTAGATTGACGGCAGTCGCGATTGTACGCGACCCGTCTACGGTCCAGTGCTTTTCTTTTTTTTCCTTTCCGAGCCCCCTCGAGTCCTGCATGAAAGATGGATGACATTCACGACCTGCAAGGCCTCACGCTAGAGGACCTTCGAAAACTCGACAAAGATGCCCCGAATGATGTAATTGAGAAATTCCTCCCGCAAAGGCCTCAAGCCTCCCTCACCACCTTCGCTCCCCGCCTGCGCATCTACAACAACTCCATTTTGATGCCATCGATACCCTCTACCACGTCGGGACCCGTAGCGCGAACGACGAAGCGCGGTACTACGATAATCAATTACGCTGAGGACGGGTACGATGATCTCGACGACGAAGACGACGATACGCGACGGCGGCCGACGGGGTTAAGAAGCGCGAGGAGGGACGACTCCGTGGCGAAGCAAGACTTTTCCGACAAGGTGGGCAAGGAGGCCAACGAGCCCGTCGACGTTCCCGGCCAGTGGCGCGAGTGGATGCTTAGGACGAAGATGCTCCGCAGCGACAGGCAAGGCGCGGCCCAGTCGGACCTCCCCCTGACCCTCATCCCCATCCGCATCGACCTCGAAGTCCCCAGCTTCATACCCCAGCCTCCGTTCCCGCCTCCGCCCAATGGCTACGATCCATCGCTGCCACAGTATCGCCCTCAGGAGACGACGCCACCTTACAGACTTCGGGATTTCTTCCTGTGGAATCTGCACGAAGCTCTCATCACGACGGATCAATTCGCGTTGACGTTGGTCCAGGACCTGGACCTGCCTAACCCGCGCATGCTTGCCAGCGAAATCAGCAGGCAGATCCGCACGCAGCTGGAAGAATACGCGGGTGTGGCTCTGCACCCGCTCTTCCACGCGCAGCGGGATCCCAATGACGCCACGCAACGAACAGCCGTTCCCTCGAAAAGCGGTTTTAATACCCCCAAAGAAGTCGGCGCGTCGACCCCCCTCCTCACAAATACCCCTGCGCCCGAGATCAGCGCAAAGGCCACCACCATCACTCACGACAGCGACGACTTCAACCCCGACGATGCCTATCGCTGCATCATCTCGCTCAACATCACGCTCGGCTCGACGCTCTACACGGACAAGTTCGAGTGGTCACTCCTCCATCCGCCCGGCATGGCCGACGCCTTTGCGAAGCAAACATGCGCCGATCTGGGCCTCCATGGCGAATGGGTACCCGCCGTCACGCACGGCATCTACGAAGCCGTCCTCAAGCTGAAGAAGGAAGCCTGCGAATCAGGCGGCGTCGTCGGCGGCTGGGGCGGTCTGCAGCAGGAAATTGCTAACGACTCGGCCCACGGTGCAGAGGCGGGCATGCGCTACGATCCGGAGAACCTGGGCGCCGAGTGGCAGCCCAACTTCGAAGTCCTCACCAAGGAGGAGATGGAGAAGCGCGAGGGCGACCACGAGAGGCAGCTTCGGCGGCTGCGGCGCGAGACGGCGCGGTTCAGCTCCACTTCGGGCCTCGTCGGCGGCGTGCCCTTCTCCGGCTTCGGGACCATGGTCGAGGCCGAGGAGGAGCGTATGGGTCGTGGTGAGAGGAACAAGAAGAAGAGGAGGCAGCTGAGGAGTAGTTTGAGCCCGCAGCGGTCGGGGACCCCCGGTGGAAGGGGCACGCCGGATGTTGGGTATGGCGGGGGTGGGAGCAGTTCGCTTATGGAGGCGGAGAGAGAGAATTGGCGGTGTTCGCAGTGTTGTGTGAGGGGATCTTGTGTTTGGGCTGTTCGGGATGGACCTGCAGGTCTTAGGGTGAGGCATTTCCTCTTTCTTTCTTTCTTTCTTTCTTTCTTTCTTTTTTTTTTTTCTCTCTGCTAACGGTGTCTCTACTAGACTCTATGCCATAACTGCGGCTACCTCTACGAGCGCGACAAGCGCCTGCCTTTCCTCATGAAGAACCTTCACCGTAACGATCAACGAATAGTATAGTGTACTTCTCCTTCCGGGACCATGTCCGATCCCCCGCAAATGGGCAAGAAAAGGAAAAGAGGACGAGAGATGACCGCGCATCCTTGAGAGGAAAATTGCGGTGGTTGCGGTTTCCGAAATCTCTCTCTCTGTATTTCTATGTTTTTTCTGGTGTTGGATTCCTTTGTTTTTCAACCTTGTGTGTGCGTTTGATGTGCTCGGGGTGGGATATTGTTTTTAGAGGTGTTTTAGGTTTCTTTCTTTTTCTCTTGTCTATTCGATGAGAGGTATTTGAAGTGGTTGGTTTTGGACTTTTTCTTGAAAAGGAACTCGTTCAAGGGACGGGGATCCAAGAGAATACCAGTCTGGGCGTATGAGGGGGTACTCGGGGGTCTAGGGTAAGTTGGGCAGGGTATAATACATTAAGCTTGAGTGAGGGTTGTTGCTTTCTCTTCCTCTTGAGATGATGTGAAGTGTTTTTTTGTATTGTGTAATGTTCCTATACTTTTGCAATGACGAGCGAGGTCTTCAAGGACCCGTCGCTTTGCTTAAAAAACAGAGTCTTAGCGCAACTCCAGAGGAAATATCCGTCCGCGTACCAATACCATGAGTAAAACACAAGAGTATGCCCTTCAAGGAAAACTAACAAAGGAAAACAAAGGAAAGACCTAGTCCGCAGATGTAATCTCTCTCAATCATACAAGCTATGATCGACCTCTCCCACCTTCGAAACATGCGGACTCGTCACCTTAATGCCATTCTCCAGCCTTGAAAGGGTAACGGCGTAGCCCTTGAAATCACACCAAGACTGCACCATCTTCACCGCATTCTTAATCTCTCGTCCGTTGAGATTCCAGCCTCCCAGCTCCTTGATGTCCTCCTCCGAGATTCCCTTGCGGGCCAAGTTCTCCTCCTCCTCGCTCGCCCACACCTTCTCCGCATCCTCCTCCCACAAAGGCTGCTCAGAGCCAACAACCCTAACATGAGGCACACGTTCCAGGAACTTCTTCCAGATCTGCTCCCTCGCCTCAGAAGAAAGGGGCTTAAACAGCAAATGCAAGCTGACGCGGCTCCGGAACGCCGGATCGATGGTGTGGTACAGGTTGGTCGTGAGGAACACGATGCCGCGGAAGTACTCGAGCTCGCGGAGGAAGATGGACACGAGCTCGTTGCGGGCGATGTCGACGGGCTCGCGGGTGGCCATGAACACGTCGGCTTCGTCGAGGAGCACGACGGCGTTCCATTCGGTGGCCATGGCGAGGAGGCGTTTGAGGTTGGCGCCTAGGGCGGTGGCGTTGATGCCTAGGTCTTCGGCTTGGAGGTACAGGAGGGGTCGGCGGGTGCGGTCGGCGACTGTGGAGTGAGTGTGAGTAGAGGGCACTAAACTGACTTCCCTGAAGATTGCAAAGGGAAATGAAGACTTACCAGCCTCTGCGGTGAGGGTCTTTCCGGTTCCGGGAGGTCCGGAAAGAAGAAGAATCAATCCTTGGCCTAGAAAGGGACGCATTAGTCGAGCTGCAACGGCGACTTGAGGAGACGAGAAATAGCTTACCCTTTCCGACAATGACATCGTCAAAGATGCTCGCCTGCTTCTGCCCGTGATGTTCAACAAATGACAAGACAAGGTCCTTTTGCTCCTCGCTGTAGACGAGGTGCTTGTAAGCCGAGTCATTCCAAGTAATGGGCTGGATATCCTCGATGTAGAACTTGACTGCGAAGATCCGATGCTCATATTAGCCAAAACATTCCTCTTAGCTGGGGAGAGAAACGAGATTCACTTACGCCACTTCTTATTCTTCAGCGCATACCCTTCAACCCAAGGACCGATAAACATCAGGAGGTCCTCCTGGGCCAACATCTCCTTCTTATTCCGCTCCTGATCCTCCTCCGACAGCCACCTCGGCTTCTTCTTGCCATCATCATCATCTTCCTTGCTCCCGCCCGACGTCACAGCATTCTTCATCGTCTCGGGATCCAGCAGCTCGCGCTTTCCCTGCGGCTGCTGATACCTGTTATAACCCGCGACGTCGATGAGAACCCTGCCCTCGACGTTGTGGCTTTCACAATCCTCGCCAAAGTAAATGGCCAGACCCTCGTAGTTCCTGTAGCACAGGCCCTGCAAATCTAGCATCTTGCGACCGCGCTCCGTCAGCCTCTTCCTGACGCCGGCGGGATCCTCGTGGAATTCAAGAGGATAATGAGGCAAGTCAGTAATGGGCTTGTTGCCCAGGAACGGCTTGATCTTGACGGAGGCCTTCCTCCAGCCAAAGGCGTCGCCGTTGAAGCCGAGCACCTTGACGGGGATGTTGAGACCTTCGACGGTGTACTCGACGGGCCCCTCGACCTGGGCTAGGATCTCGGCGTTCTTGATGTAGCTGTGGATGATGCAACCCGTGGGATAGTACGTCCAGGCCGTCTTGTACTTGATCAGGCGCAAGGACTTCATGCTCGCGACGCGAGGTCGCAAGTCGCTAAACGTATCATCGAGGACCTTGAGGAACAGCTCCAGATGGGGCTTCAGTGAGGACTCGCTGGGTGTCTTCCTGTACAAGTCAAGAATCTCTGGAAGGCCGAAGAAGAGGGCCATGAAGGGCTGTTTGAAAGTAGCCCTGTTGTTGAGATCAAGGTGGACATTTTCCTTCTTCAAGATGGGGGCGATGGCGGCGACCAACTGCGGGTTGTAGACGTAGATCTGATACGTCTTCAGCGGGAAGAGGTTACCGAGTGCGACCTTATCGCGGTCCTTGATCTTCCACACGGCCACGGAGTGCATGGCCAGATTCTTGGCCACGGTCGGGCTCATCTGCTTGGGCGGGTAGTCGGTCCAGTCATAGTGCTCGTTCGAGGGGTTCGAATCCTTGCCCTCGTAGTAGTACTTGATCTTGGCCTGGGTTCCCGTCTCGGGCTCGGGGGCTAGCTTCTTGGGGTCTTCGTCTGAGGAGACGTCGATCTCCTCGATGCTGCGGCCGATGGGCGGCTTTGGGGGCAGGAGCTTGCAGCGCCATTTCCAGGCGAGTTCGGACATGTCGTTTTTTTTTCTGCCGACGAAGCCCATTTTGAGGATGGTTTTATTGTTTCTTTTCTCCCTTTTGTTTTGGTTTGATTGATTGGAGAGAAGGGGGAGGGAAGATGAAAGATGAGAGATGAGAGATGGCTTGGAGGAGGTGAGAAAGGTTCAATGGAAGGGGTATCTCAAACAAGCTGAAGAGCAAGCAATGCAGAAGTAAACAGCTCCAGCACAAAGCAAGGGAAGGGGACAGGATCAATTGACAGAAAAGCGAGAGTGAGACTAAGCTTTATCTAAGTGTTCGCGGAAGAATGGTGAGAAATGAGATCAAAGCTATGGGGAGGAGGAGGCTGTGGGAGCTCTCTAATATATAATACGTAGGAATCCTCTAACTTAGATACATGTGTTATCCGCACGTAGGCGTCCTTATTCACACCGAGGTAGCTCTCCTGCAAGCTCAATGAGCTCACTTCAAGCAAACATCCCGGGCCAGTCATGACTGGACCGGGGTGGATGTGAGGGGAAACCAGGAACAGGGGATTCGGACCTGGGTCTCGAGCTCGAACGAGGAGAAAGCTCTCATAGTAAAAGCCACAAACCGTGGTGCGACTCGGTACGCTAGAGTAAGGCGGAAGCCTGGTGTACCGGCATGATAACACCAACAAGAAGCGAGGAAAAGAGGCAGCCTGGATGCAGGATGGGAGCTCGCGGAGAACGAGACCTTGCATAACTCGTGTTTAGCTCTCGCGTGCTCATTCCGGTTGTGGGGGGACCTGCCCCAGGGCCTCTCGCAGTAAGAAGATAGTTTTGGGAACTTTGGATCTTAACCCCGATCTGATTCTTTTGTTTTTCTTTTCAGTAGGACTTTCTGTTGTACGAAGCGAGCATTATTTCGCATGTTGATGGATCCTAGGACTGGAGGATTCACGTCTTGGCCCATGTCTTTGGGGACTCTGAAGGGAGCCAATACCGTCTCGCCTGCGCCACTACTGCAGACAGGGATCTACTCAAGTACTCCGTACACTACACTACGAAAAGTAAGTCCTACACTAACTAGACTCTGGTAGCGTCACAGCCCTAGACCCATGCAACCCGGAACCTTGGAGAAATCCCAAGTCGTCTTATCCACGATCGCCAGTAAGACGCCAGTAAGAGACGAGAGGTGGTCTGGGGTGCGGGAGCTGGGGGGTTTTTTTCCATTTCGATGATCCCCCAAGAGGGAGCGTGAGGGGGTTCAGAGTTCAGATGTAGCAAAGTGCGATCCAGCCCCAGGCAGCCGTTGCGTTGCACTTTGCTCGTGGGCGCGTTCCCCTCCTCAGATCCAATGATTAGTGACGTTTCCTGCAATGCCAATGCGAGGTGCTCGTGCAGATCAATGGGCTGTGGACGGGCTCGTTTACAAGTCAGATGTGGCACCATAACGGGAAATTTACGAAGTAGACTGTGATACTTCATCCATCATAACGCAAACGCAGCGTTCCTTCCCCAGTTCCTTGCCCACTTGGGCGCTTCTGACAGGGGACGGTGATGACTCAGCAGAGCTCCCTCCGAGAATTTCCAATTGGCCCCACAAGTTTTCCAATTCTCAATCCGAGCTTCAAAGCTCCAGTCGAAGCTGAGCTCCTCCCTCGTTCGATATTCCGCACCAAAATCGAAACGAAAAAAAAAAAAAAATCACCCAAGACAATGGCGGCACCAACCCCGCCCATTCCCCCAGTCCCCGGCCCAGCAACCACGGGCGCAGCAAGCTCCGTCCTCAACCTCAATGCGCTCTTCGACAACCCCCTCTTCGCCGGCGGCATCGGCCTCGCAGGCCTCGGCGCCGCCGCCGCAACAGCCCGCAAAGGCGTCCTCGTAGCCGCCAGCGCCGCGCGCCGCCGCCTCCTCGTCAACCTCGAAATCAGCCGGCAGGACCCGGCCTACCCGTGGATCCTGGCGTGGCTATCACAACTCAGTCCCCAGCAGGGGTTCGTGGCGTCGCGGCTGACGCGCATCAACAACTTTTCCGTAACGACGACGACGTCGAGGGGGACAGGCCCGGGGAGCGGGAGGCCGAGTTTTTTCGTGCAGCCGGGGTACGGGAGGCATATCGTGAGGTATCGGTGGGCGTATATTGGGGTCAATAGGGAGAAGCATAATACGGCGAATATGAATACGGGGGAACCGCATGAGATTGTGCAGTTGACTACGTTATGGGCGCATAGGCAGATTTTTGATGAGGTGTTGACGGAGGCGAGGGCGTTGGCTGAAAAGGCGCATGAAGGGAAGACGGTGGTTTATTCGGCTAGGGGGCTGGAGTGGGCGCCGTTGGGGGATCCGAGGAAGAAGCGGCCGCTGGGGTCGGTTATTCTCGACGAGGGGGTCAAGGAGAGGATCGTCGCCGACGTCGAGGACTTCCTCGCGCGGCAGCAGTGGTACGTCGACAGAGGCATCCCCTACCGCAGGGGCTACCTTCTCTACGGACCCCCGGGAACGGGCAAGAGCTCGTTCATCCAAGCGCTGGCGGGCGAGCTCAACTATAGCGTGGCCATGATTAACCTCAGCGAGATGGGCATGACGGACGACAAGCTCGCATACCTCCTCACGAAGCTCCCCAAGCGCAGCATTCTCCTCCTTGAAGACGCTGACGCCGCGTTCGTCAATCGAAGACAGCGCGATGCTGACGGGTACAGCGGCGCGACGGTGACGTTTTCGGGGTTACTTAACGCGTTGGACGGCGTGGCGGCGGGCGAGGAGCGCATTGCGTTCTTGACGACGAATCACGTCAATAGGTTGGATCCGGCGCTGAAGAGGCCCGGGAGGGTGGACGTCATGGAGCGCATCGGGGAGGCGACGACGTATCAGGCGACGCAGATGTGGGATCGGTTCTACGGTGACGTGGACGCGGACCACAAGGGTCGCGAGATGTTCTTGGCGAAGCTTCAGGGGTTGGGACTCTTGAGGGGTAGGGATGAGGATGCGGTGGGGGAGAGGAGATGTACGAGCCCTGCGGCGATTCAGGGGTTGTTTTTGATGAATAAGGAGGATATGATGGGGGCGATTGAGATGGCGGAGGAGTATTTCATGGCTGAGGAGGGGCACACTCAACTCTAGATGGGCAACGGGTGATTTGGTGAGTGCGGATGGATGCATTGAATGAATCAAATGTCCATATATTTGGGAGCTCGAGGCCCAGACCCGGACTCGGGCTCGGATTCGGACATGGGAGGAGAATGGCTCGGGATCTCGTCGAGTTTCCTTGTGAGATATCGCAAGGTTTGTACAAAATTGTATTACAATGTACCTCAGCATAGACGTAAAATGTAGATTAGGGACCTAGAGGCTTTTGCATATAGCATACTAAATGCTGAAGAAACGAGCAATGATACCCTCCCACATTTGGTTTAAAGATCAAAATGCAACTAATCAACCATCAATGCCATCCTCTCCTGCTCAGCCTCACCAAATCTCAAGCTTATCCTTCATGTTCCCTTGTATCTCAGCTTCTTTATTCTTGCAGCCTTCCATACCACAGGATCGGACAAGTAGGTCAACGGCCCAGTGTGTCTTTCGCCGCGAATTGACTCGAGCCCAGTAGTTTGTCGGTGGCATGTCATTTCGAGGCGGATGAATCACACGCCGACAAAGATTCTAGGATAGTTCGGACTCGGGTTCTAAAAGAAGATTGGATCAATTGATATTTTTAGGTGGGTTGCTATGTGCTGTTTCGTGCTGCTGCCTACAATTAATTGGGCAATTTTTGAGCCAGGCTTCGCCTTCTTTGTTCCTTCCCCCACACTTTCATTGTCCGCATCTTCGTGTCACGCCGGGTTGCTCAAAATTGAACGACTTTATTCTTGCATTACTCTGCGCTGCTTTATCACCACTCATACTAGATCTCAATACAAAGTGGACCGGCTCAGAAAAAGATCCCTTATCCAGTTACTTAAATTAAGAGCCGCCACCCACCCCCTCAAAAAGGAGGAACCGAAAATGTCAGGACAACGTTTAATATCGTCGTACTTTAAGAGACCCTCAGGATCCAACATTCCCCCAAGAGCCAACATGTCCAACGCCGGCCCTTCCTCGTCCCAGCCCCCTCCCTCGTCCACACCACAAAGCCACAACAGACCTCGCAATGCCCGCCGAGAAGCCCTCGCCGCCACAGCAGCAGAAACCCGCACCCTCCTCCCGACAATCCTCTCCAAGCTCCCCAACATCCAGGCCTCCAAGTCTGAAATCTTCCACCTCGATGACTTCCCTCCCCTGAAAGCAGCCTCCTGCCCGGCCTACAACCCCTCCAATGGCCACAAGACGAGCATCCGCGTCGTCGACGGTGACTCGTGGAACGTAGCCATCGACCTCGCGGAGGAATACGCCTCTAAGCCCGCAGGCAACGGCATAGCCATGGCGGACCGCGTAGCCGTCCTCAACATGGCGTCCCACGCGCGGCCGGGAGGTGGGTGGCTACGCGGAGCCATGGCGCAAGAGGAAGCCCTATGTTATCGGAGCTCGCTATATCTGAGCTTGCACAAGCGGTACTATCCCTTTCGCCATCTCACGGGCGTGTATTCACCCGACGTCGTCGTCATCCGGGGCGATTACGCCAACGGCCACAAGCTGTACCTAGCAGACCCAGGTGTCAAGGAGGAAGATCTACCCGTCTTCAGCGTCCTCAGCGTGGCGGCCATCTGCCGACCCGAGACGAAAAGGGTGGCTCTCGCCGGACAGAGCCAGGCGGCAAAGGCCACGACGGAGGAGGTGTTTGCCAAGGAGTCAGATAAGAAGTTGACGAAAGACAAGATGAGAATATGTCTGCGCATGGCGGCCGCGAGGGGCCATTCTCTGGTCGTGCTCGGGGCCTTGGGATGCGGCGCGTTTAGGAATCCGCCGCGGGAGGTGGCGAGGCTTTGGGCTGAGGTGCTGGGGGAGGCGGAGTTTGCGGGCGGGTGGTGGAGGGAGATTGTGTTTGCTGTGTTGGATACGAGGAGGGAGGGGAATTTGGAGGTGTTTGAGGAGGTTTTGGACGGTCTGGAGGTTTGATGCTTGAGGGTTGGGAATCATTTATGTTGATGTTAGCTGCTTTATGGCTTGCTTCTGTCTATTCTCCTTTTCTGTCTTTCCTTTTCTTCTTTGTCTTATTTTTTTTATTTTTATTTTTTTTATTTCGACTATTTCTTTCTCAAGGATGTGTCCACGGATGCATTGTTTGTACTATGTTACCGTTTATGGCGGGAAGAGGCAGCTCTTGTTTGATGTTCTGCTGTTCACCACAGGTTCATGGTTCCTCGTTCCTCGTTCCTCGATCCAGTCTCTAGCGTTGACTCCACGTATATTTCGATTCATCATTTACGACTCTTTGACTTGTCCCTCCCGTCTTAAGCCCCCCTGCCTGTTCTCTTCCTCGGCGCAGCTTAAACATTGCAGCTGTGTGCTTAAAAATCAAATCCTGATCTTGATCATGATGGGCTGCATCTGATCCCCCCTCGGTTTGAGATCTCGGGAATGGCATGCATGCGACCGATGATTCGGATGGCAGCGTAACCTCCCCCGCCCGGAGCAGTTTCCAGGTGTGGTACCCGGATTCTGTCAAGCTTGTCTGCTTGTCTTGTGTGAATCACGCAGTTGACATTCACCCCAGACTGCAATGCAACCAGCAGCCTTTCTGGGTTCGTTCCGCGCTTGCCCTTGAGGTCGCCTAGCGTCGGTTCCCTGTCATGAACACGGGAACAAACATCAATGACAAGCTTGACAAGCTTGACAAGCTCTGCCGAGTCACGACTCGCTGCGGGGAATACCAATGAAGGCTTTGCTCTTGGGGGGGACAGGGTACTCTCGATCCAAGAAAACGGGCCTGCCTGGTTCAAATCCATCCTCTACCGCACTCTCCTCGCACCCAAGCAAGAATTAAGATTCCTTCTCTCTCTCGCTCTTCTCATCTCAGATGGGCTCAACTCACCTCCACCTCCACCTCCACCTCCCGCCCAATGTAACCTCCCCCCACCACGCAACTCCCACCGCCCAGTCAAAACCCGCCATCAAAGGCAAACTTGAACCAGAAAGCATCCCGTCCCCAAACTGCCCCCAATGCAGCTAATCCAACTCTAGCTAGTCAGTCCCATTCGATCTCCGAGCGCGAAAGTCGCGAGCCACCAACGACAAGCTCAAGGCTCAAGGGAACGGGAATCGCGATGCATGCTACCACAATATGCCAACCGAAAAAGCTTTTCCCCTCTTCTGGGACAGATCAAGGAGTGAGTGTGTGCGTATACAAGAAGGGCCACTCTACTTCCTGATCGTACTTCGTACTGCCTTCGCACAAGCTGCGTCTGGACTCTAGACGAGATCAATAAGCGAATTGATTGATTGCAAATCAAAAAAACGAGTGCCGTGCGCGATCCCAACATGTCGTCTTCCGCGATTTCGGATACCGGCCGGTAAACCTGTGCACCAAAGCTCCGGGATACATTCCGTGCTAGGCTTTTCCGACCAATCTTTTTTCTGTTCTCTTTTTTTTCCTCTCTCCTTATCTACTTGCTAAAATTTGACTTTTAATATATATATTTTACTCGTCGTGAATGATCCAACATTGTACAATTGACGTCTACTTTCGCTTCACATCCGTCATTTGCGCGCCATTAGACTTTGATCTTCTTGCGCTTCATCTCATACCTCTTTGCTAGATTCTACTGCTCCTCAGACGACCAATTCTCCTCTGCAATGAACGTATGAAGAAACGGGGCGTAATATCTTAGGAAAATACACACCATGTCCCCCGATCCAGAAAAGCCAGACTCTACACCTGTGAGAGAAAAAGAAGGAGGAGAGCCAACAATACAACAACATCCATCCTCTCCTCCTGCCGACTCCGATCCCAAATCTCTCCCAAAATCAGCCTCCCAACACCGCCCAGACGAAACCCAACATGCCGCCCAAGAAGAAGCCTTCACCGACGACGAAGACTCCTCCTCCGTCGAGGAATGGCCCAAGATTCCCTTCTCCAAAGCCCGCTGTATCGCCATCGTAGCCACCACCACCGGCGCCAGCTTCATGAATGTAAATCGCACCCCTTACCCCCCCTAATCCTTCTCCCCCCGTTTCCCTCTCCTTTTCAGTTAACGCCAAAATCCTCGCAATACAGACCTTCTCCATCCAATCCACAGTCATCATCCTCCCCGTCATAGGCCGCGACCTCAACATCCCCTCCAGCCGCCTGCAATGGATCGTGTCGGCCTACGCTCTCGCTTTTGGCTGCTTCCTGCTCCTGTGGGGCCGCATCGCCGACATTTACGGGAAGCGCATCATTTTTGCTTCGGGGACGGCGTGGGTTGCTGTTATTAGTGCGATTAATCCGTTTTTGAGGAATGAGATTGCTTTTTCGCTGTTTCGCGGGCTGCATGGCTTGGTAAGTTCCTTGAGAGAACGTGTGTGAGAGTGAGAGAAAGAGGATGTAATACTCACAAGCTGCCATCTTTCCAGGGAGCCGCTGCAAACGTTCCCACGGCCATTGGCATCCTCGGAACGTTATTCCCGCCCGGCAAGGCTAAGAACTACGCCTTTAGCTCATACGGTATGTTAGAAAACGGATTCTCATCTCACTCCATCTTCTAACACTATTGGCCTCCCCCCACATACAGCCGCCGGTGCCCCCCTCGGCGCCGTCTTCGGGAACCTCGTCGCCGGCTTCATCGCCGAATACACCACCTGGAAATGGGTATTCGCAGTAATGGCCATCGTCTCCGGCATCATAGCCGTCATAAGCCTCTTCGTCATCCCTCCCCCCTCTGCCGCCCAGCCACCTCCGACCATCACCGACGACAACCCCACCGTCACAGCCACTCCTCCCGTGAAACCCTCCCTCGCCTCCGTGGACTGGATAGGCGGCGTCCTCATCACAGTCGGCATCCTCGTCCTCCTCTTCGCCCTAACGGAAGGCAACGTAGTAGGCTGGTCCACCCCCTGGATCCCCACCCTCATCGTCGTCTCCCTCCTCATCATCGCCGCCTTCGTAACCTGGCAATGGTACCTCGAGACACGCACCTCCCGCCCGCCCCTCATGAAAGTCTCCATCTTCAAGAACGCACAGTTCTCCGCCGCCCTCGTCATCATGGGCCTCTTCTTCTCCTCCTTTAATAATTTCCTCATCTACGCTACTTTTTACTTTCAGGATTACCAGCAGCTCTCTACGCTGCAGACGACGCTCCGGTTTCTCCCTACAGGGATCGCGGGTGCTATCGTCGCCGCCATCGTCGCGCCGCTGTTGTCGCGCATCCCGACGCAGTACTTCCTCCTCTTCGGAAACCTCGCCGTCTCCCTCGCCTCCCTCCTCTTCGCCGTCCCCATCGACCCCAGGACGACATACTTCGCCTACGGCCTCCCCGCCATGGTCCTCTCCGTCATGGGCGCCGACACAACCTGGCCCTCCCTCACCCTCTTCACCTCCCACTGCCTATCTCCGCAGGACCAGGCCCTCGGCGGCGCCCTCATCAATGCCGTCGGCCAGGTCGGTCGCTCCATCGGCCTCGCCATCTCCACGACCGTCCAGACAGCCGTCATGGCCCGCGAGCGAAACGTTCCCGTTCAGAAGGTCGGCGAGGTCAAGCCTTGGGATGAACCGTCGCTTTTAGGTCTGCGAGCGGCGAACTGGACGACTTTTGCGCTGGGGATTTGTTCGCTTTTGGTCGTTGCTGCGGCGTTTAGGGGCACGGGCATCATCGGAAAGGCGGATGCGCCCGCGTCGGGGGGCATGACGAGGAGGAATAGAAGGGATGGCGGTGGGGATGGTACGACGCCAGCACCGGACGAGAGCGCTGCCGCTGCGAATAGGAATGGCGAAGGAGGAGATGTAACGGAATCGAAGGAGGTCAGAAGGAATTAAGTATTTGATTTGAGCGGCATCTGGACCTGCACTTTTCTGTTTATTTACTATAGGAAGTTTGTTTGTTTAGACCCTTGCAGTGTCTTGGATACCATCGCCAGGTAAATTAATTCATGAACCACCAGACATGACATGCAGATCATGGCTTGTTCTTCTCACCGTGCTATGCACGACATACTGCAGGGGAACTCGATCTTCTTGTAATCCTGCAATTCCTGTCCATCTGCTATAGTACGGCACTCTGCACAAAAGAGCTCTAGTTTAATACGATACGATGGCACTGACACCACCGTAGTAGCCATTATATTGCCCTATATCTATTCATTTATGCAATGGTTCCGACAAAAGAAACCGAAAAGGATGGGTATCAGGTATCAAACACTCGAACACCAATAGCCTGTATCTATATGCCACGAAACGGAAAGAGAGAAAAGGAAAGAAGGAAATAGGCGGGGAGAGGAAATAGTCTCAAAAATCCCAACCAATGCTTAATCCGCACATGTAACATCCCAGCTCTCACATCTTACGCCTCCTCAGCCTCCGGATCCTCCTCGTCACCGCCAGCAGCAAGTCTCTGCAACCTCTCCCATATTACCGGATCCTTCTCCATCTCCTGCCACACCTCCACCTCCAACTCTCCGTTCGACCTCGCCTTCCACGGCGGCCACCTGTACACGCCCAGACCGATCAGCGTCCGCTTGATCAGCTTTCGAGTGAAATCTATCAGTCCCAATACCGCTAGCACGGCAAACAAAGTCGCCCACCACAACAGATCGGGTCCGAAAGTTTGCATAAAACCGTCATGTACAGCGTAGATGGACGGCGTAGGTTCGTAGGAACCGGCTAGAAATGCCTGCCAGGCCCACCACCCGATAGTCGTAAGGAAGAAGCAGAACATGATGATGCCAGTCTTGTAATGCGTCTCAAATATGCTGCACACAGCCGTTAGTCTTCCATCAGTCATCATGACCGACTTTTTGTTTGTAGAAAAACTCATCGATCACTCACAATAGCTTCCAGTTGATCCAAAGCACACCGACGGTAAAGGACAGGTTACCCAGAGCGAACAAACCCTGGTCACTCAGCCTAGCTTTCCACCCGTAGCCGGCCCATACGCCGAACCAGGCCAGAACGCCGTCTGTGGCACCAATGATCATCCATGCGATGTACTTCCACATGTTGAGCCCCATATTCCTTTGTCCGTACGAGTAGAGTTCTGGAACCGCTAGCAGAGTCTCGGCGCGGAGATCCTGCTCCCAAATGCCCATGCAGATGACGCACAAACTCGTAAAGAGCGTGTTGAAGACGGTTAAACTGGCAAATTCGTAAAGCGAGGTCCCCGTATAGCCATTGTACCGCTGGTAGAGCGCAGTGGGCAGATAGAAGAACATCTCCTTCCAGAAAGTCGCGATGATAAATTTGGCCGTTCGCACATAGTTCCATCTTCCGTGAACAAACAACAGTCTCTGGAGGAACCGGAATTGAGCAATCGAGTAGTCGGCTACACGTGCTGCTTGGAGGCCCTCCTTGCCCGAGATGCCTACACCGACGTGACTAGCTTGAATCATGGCCAGATCGTTCGCACCATCGCCAATCGCGAGAGTAAGACCTCGGTGGGCTCCCTTCATTTTTCGCAACCGCGACCGAACCGTCCTGACGAGGAGCGCCTTTTGGGCTGGGGAGGCCCGGCAGCAAATGACCGAGTCAACCAAGGGCATGATGGCGTAAAACTGCGCCGAGAGGTCGTCCGACTGCTCAATAATGCCGAGCGTGTGACCGTCGACCACGACCACGCTATGAATAGACTCCGTCTGGACGTCCTCCATGATATTGAGCAACTGCGAATCGAGGGACCCCTTGGTAGAATCCAACACATACAAGTCGGACCCCGCTTGAACGATCCGAGCCGAGTGCGCAATGTTGATGGCTGTCTCCCGCTTATCTCCTGTTAGCATCCATATCTTGATGTTTGCTCGTCGTAGCCGGTCAATCGTATCCGGTACACCCTCTTGAAGCTTATCTTCGATGGCCGAGGCCCCGACCAAGTCAAACGTTTGCTCAATCATTTCTGCTGCAGCTTCGATACGCTCTTGCCTGTCGACCAAGCTGGTTGTGGCGTCTTCGTAAATCTTCTTCCATCCCGCATACTCCGCTTCCGGTACGAATCGCTGCGCAAAGACTAGAGTCCTCAGCCCCTCCGCAGCAAATTCATCCAAATGCTTAAAGCATCGACTAAATACAGTGGGGTCGTCATGGATATAAGGATCGTCGAGGAACGAGAACTTGTCCATTTCATCCGGCTCTCCTGTTCCTTTGCCTGGAGGCTGAAGGTGGGTGAGTTTCGAGACATCGAGAGACCGATCGCGAGTGGCAAGCGACGGGCGGGGCTTTTCATCACGCAGTGGCCTCGAGCTTGCTGCTGCATCAAAGGATCTGCTCCTAGCCGTACTGGCCTGTCGTAATAGGCTACTACTCGCTTCACGCATAGGTGGGCCACCAAATCTCGTAGTCAGACTTGGACGACCACCGATGCTCGGCCGAGATTCGTGCAAACTCTTTCGTAACATCTCGTGCTCTAGATCTGCGCTCTTTCTCACCTCAGAAGCCTTCTGTTTCGCCAGCGGTGCCATCCTAAGGCGTGGCAGTATGACCGAATCGGCACCTTTGCAAATGACTGATATGCGACCATCTGGGTACCGCAGGACGACAGACATGCGCTTCCGCTTACTGCTAAATTCGATGACGTCAAGGATTTCGAAAGTTTGTAATCTAGACGAGCCGTTGTCGTCGGTCGCAACGCGGAGAGTAATCTGCTGCGGAGACCTCTTCACTACCGTATAACCTAGCTCCTGAGCAGCCCTTACGAGGGCAATCTCATCCGGAGATGACGCCTGGTATTCGAGAACCCCATCTCGCACCTCAGGAAGGCAAGTATGGCACAGAGCCATCGCTAAAATGTACTGCTTCGCCTTTCGGGCAAAGAGCGAGTTGGGGCGGTGTCGGATGTACTCCATTAGGTCGGAAGTCGTCACATCAGGCTGCACATGGTCAGGGCGTCCAGTTGACCGCCACTGAGAAGATGATCTCCTCTGTGTCATGGACGCTCTCGGAGTGATAGTCGTTGTTGCTACTGTCTCAAGAGCCTCCGAGGAGTCGGGCGTCTCGACGGCCGCCGCTGCCGGTACTCTTATGGCTGGGATGCTTGCTTTGAAAAACGGAGGCTTTTCCGAACTAATCTGAGAGTCATCATCAGAGTCAACTGTGTCAGCGATTGTGTCCTGGTCTAGATCAGTCTCGTGGAGCCAAGCCGTTCCTGCAATACTGAGTTTTCGAAACTTCATAACATTGTCGGTAAGGGTACCAGTCTTGTCGGAGAATATGTAGCCAACTTGGCCCAAGTTTTCTAGAATGGTGTTCGTGTTGCACTTTGCAGGAGTGTCTGAAGCAGCATCGTACATGTTGATGTCGGAGTTCAGCATGATGAGTTGGCCGATCTTGACAATTTCCAGGCTGACGTAAAGGGCAAGAGGAACGACATTGTTAAACTGAATAATGTAGGCAATGAGGATTTCGTGGAACGCTACTTTCGCGTCGTCGAGGTACCAGCTTTTGGCCTCGACGGACTTTTGCCAGGCAACATAACCCATAGAGCATCCGACGGAAAGGACGACGACGTAGATGGCGAGGGTGATGACGATCCTGTTCACTATGAGCTCAAGCGCTGGCCGTTTAGCCTTTGGGTGCTGGTTCGCATTCATACCTGAGTGCAAGGTTAGCGCAATCCAGATCCGGTGGCACCAAAACTACCCAGAGATTGGTGTTAACACGAGAGTGACTTACGAATTTTGCACTCCTCGCCAGTATTGACGACTAGGCCAATCAGGCTCGGCGTGTTTCTCACAATGCTGCCGCGATATATCACCTCGTTGAGCGTCAGAGGTAAGGTCTTCTCGCCGACAGTGACCTTGCCGTTAAAACGGTACAGGTCAGGATTAGGGTCCTCCGTGACAACGTGGGCGCGGCAAGATCGGATCCCCTTAATCGTTCCACATTCCTTGATTGCTGTTGACACCTGCTTAGTCTTCAGGTTGGTCTCCCCATCCAGGGCCATCGTCTCAATATATGCTAAATCATCTTCGCCATCGCTGTGTAAGAGCACGATGTCGGCGGGGACAGGCTCGTCTCGGACCAGCTTCACCACATCTCCAACTCTGATATCGCACCACTTGGTCGAAACCCATCTAAGACCATCGTACTCTTCGTCAAACTCCCGGAGCGGTTCTCGGACCTTCTTATAATGGAATGGGATGCGGCTCTGTTTCCTCTTTGTGACTACGACATGGGGCCGAGCCTTGGATGCGTCCTTTAAAACTATGGCGGCATTCGCATTTTCGACATTATCGAGACGGTGGCGCTTGAAGTCATCGTATCCTTCTTTGGCGACGGTAAGGAGAACAAAGAACATGAGCGGTAGGATGGTGGTAAAGTTTCCCGTTGTACTTAGACCCGGAATTGTCTGCGGCACACCAACACATAGAAAGTAAAAATTGCCAATGCGGCTGAACTGGAAAATCACTTGCTTTGGAAAGAAATCGTAGATGGTGTATCGTGAGGTTCGAATAGAGTTGTCGATGTATGATCGTCCGCGGCGGTTGTCGGTTAGCGGCTGCTCGCGGCCGGGTTCGAGGGGGATGTGCCGGCCATCTTTCGAGGCTGGTAGAGGCTTTTCGCGGAGGATGAATTCGAGAAAGACTCTCTTGTAAACCTTGTGTAATCCGCTCTGGATTGTCTGGCTTAACGACGTGGCTCTCGACATGCGCTGGCTGGCTCTGGTGGGAGCTGCGGTGATCGGCGCTCCGGTAGCGTCGGGGCCGCCTGGTTCTACCTCTTCAACCATCATGGCTTACACGATAACGAGTGAAGCAGCATACTCCAAACGAACGGGGTAGAGCGAGCGACTAGGGTAAAGACTATAAAACGATCGAAAAGGACAAAATAGTGAAAATCCGACTATTCCGGCATTTCCGTAGAAGTGTCCGGGGTGCTTCGCAGATAAAAGCCGAATCACGATACTCGCATGAAGTTGGGGCAAGGTTGGGGGGGAACAGGCGATATGGCCTCGGATACGGATTTCACCGACTTTGCGACTCCAGCGACGGACGCAACACGAGATCCCGAATCGTCATGAGAGGGAAGAAGTCGAGGGTGGAAGGAGCGGGTGGAGAAATCAGAGGTGGAGAGAAGTCGCGGCTTGGACTTGGAAATGGTCCAAGTGGGACAGACAAAGACAGAAATCGCCAAGGCGCTAATCGCACCAAGACTGAGAGACAGATGCGCTTTCCCTTGTTAAAGCGAGAGAGTCTGGGAGAGAAGGTGCGAGAGAGCGAAGGAGAAAACATCGATGCAAGGGCAGGTGCGAGTCACCGATCAATATAAACCAGCAGAAGTGCATAAGTTTAGAATAAAATCTGACCAGTCACGTCAATGTCGTCACCACGGGAAGCGCTTGGTGATCAGCTCGATCTTGGGCAGGAAAGTGCGTTCTGCAACCATCAAATCATGAACAAGGTCCAATTCATCCGGAACGCCGGACCTCCCAGGAAGCAGGGTTGCGAACAGACAATCAGTAATAATGCTAGATTACTACTACTTCGTATCAGTGGTGAGTTTGCGCCACTGGAGTGCAACGGACGCCGTCAATTTGATTGAAGAACACGCTGGGAAAGCACTTGGTCTGTCAGGCCCCACACCATCAATTAGATTATCAATCCCACCACTGATCAAAATGGCAGCAGACCTCGACCTGTTCTCTCCACAAATCTCCACTAATGAAGTGGCAATGTGGTAGATATGCCGATTTCATAGGGATGGTCTCTTTTGAATAATTCAATCACTGAACGTGGATCCATAAGATGGGCAAGGATTAAGGTTGAGAAACTCGGGTTCGTCGCAGACAGCCTCAACTTGAAGGATTTCTACTCATCTCCCCTCGTCCTCCGTTAGCTCCAGGTCCATCCAAGCCTAGTGAAACAGCGGAGCCCGGCTTTCGTGTTCGTTTCTGAGAAATAATACGAAAGGTAATAAGAATAACATTAATACCCCCAATCCGTTTCCGACGGACGCCAGACTACGACGTGTGCCGAGGTAGCGTCCGAATCTTATCTTCATTAATGCTATTGTCTAATTAATACCTCGTCCCAAGAGAGAAGTCTACCACGGGAAGCAGGTTAAACCTGGTCATTTGGCCTGCTGCCGCTGCAAGTGTGGACAAGAAGAAATCGCCATCACACCCATCACACAGACGTCATCGTCCCGGATCAGCTCTAAGGCTAAGAACCGCCCACGTGGGGTCCAGGCTCTAACACTGGACGCAGGTGGTTCATTTATAGTTAGTGCATCTCCGACAGCCCGTCCCGATCGGGGTGTTTGAGCTTGAGGCACAGCAAGCGGAGACGGTTTACTCTTTCAGAGATTACTTACTGATGCAGCGAGGAGGGATTTGGACCCAACAGCTCAGGAAGCTATCCGGGGTTGTCTGAAGTAGGAATCCTGATTCTCACGCCATCCGGGGTGCGCTAAGCGCCATGTCTGTCCCATTCGAGACAAAGGATGGAGCTCAAGAGAGAGAGAGACCATCGGGATAAGGGAAAAGATACAAAAAAAAAAAAAAAAAAAAGGAAAGGCAAACGAGAAGAGAAGAAAATAAAAAGAACGAGAGGGACATAAACGGAAAAGACCGCAAAACTTCGTCGATGGCATCCCGAGATTTAGCAAGTTCCGAAATATCCATCCCAGGACATATGACCCTGCAGCTTTGCACACTTTAAGTCCTTCGTATGGCCACGAGATGTCCACACGAAAGGACGTTGACGCCAGTTGCCGTTCGGCAGAACCAACTGAACCGCTTACAATCCATTCATTGCTACTGGCTCTAGGATATGCCGGCGTCAGTCTAAGCCTCTCCTCTGAAACTAAGGCGAGGCAGAGTGCCTGTCCCCAGATTTCCGGGAGATCCTTTATTAGGTCGAGGTTTCCTCACCGCATCAATGTATCGGGCCTTATAATTGAGAACAGCCGGGCTTTTGGCTGGTTGGTGATGTTCCTGGATTCCATCCAGGAGATAAAATGGGGCATCTAATTTCACTTTCCTGTTCTGAGGCAACGAGAGACCAGCGGCGGTGACAGTGCTCAACAAGAATTAAGAACACTTTAAAATACCTATACTCTTTAGCCTTTCCCCGCAGTACAATTGTATATCTACTGTGCTGTACTCATCAGACACTGTGGCCTCCTTGCTAGGATTTTGTTTGGCGGGGTCACGGGCTCAATACCAGTTCAATGTTGCCCCAAGAACATTGAAACGCTCGCAACAAACACCCGTCGCCCTGCTTCCTCTCCGCCCCGAAGCTACGAACCCTCCCATTCTCTCGAAACTTGTCCGTCCTCTTTCTTTCTATCAGTATTCGGACCCATTCCAACCGGGGGCTCTCGTCGATTCTGCGGGATCCAGCTCTCTGTCCTGCCTCCTCCCTACAAATTCGAGGTTACTGCCTAGAGGCCCCCTCCAACAAGGACGCCCTCTCTTGCGACGAGCAAGTGTCTCAGAGCCCCGGAAAACAACTCCCGCTGTCAATAGCAATATATTTACATTTTTCGCTCCATACTTAGCGTTCGTTATTGTTGTCGCCTGTAGATTTTGCTGTTGCATTTACACATACACGTTGCATGTCTCCGCCCGAGTCCTCGAGCCTTCCTCCCAACAATTCTTCTGCCAACAACGACGATGACCTAGCCCGACTTCCGGCCAAGATGGACGACAGCCTGGGTAAAGGACCGGCCGCGAAGCCCGAGGAGACCGAGGTACAAGGAATTATAAACAAACCTGAGACCGCAGAGACAACACCCAACTCGCGCCCCGATGACGACTTGCTCGACCTAACCGATCCCACACCGACTCCTTCGACAGATGATCAAGAAGCCCCCATACCCCCTCCTTCTCCCCCGAAAGCTGATGCCGTTGCCGGTACTGATACCAAAAGCGCACCCGTTACCGCCGATGAGATTCCCGACATCATGACCTCCTCCGTTGCTACCCTCCGACCCCCTCCTAACCGGAGGTCAACACCTACAAACCCCGGCCTCGCTCTGCTGGACCCACGACCAGACACATACGTCGATCCCACCCCGGCGACTCCTACAACTTCACAGCCCCTTTCGAGAGCACCCTCTTCTGCTTCCCGCCATGGCCACTCCAGAACAACTTCAGAAGTATCCCCCACGAGGTCAGACGCTGCATACGATGAAAGGCGGTATCTCAGTGAAGATGAGCAGGAGGGCGGCTCGCGCTCCGAGATCCAGAGCATCATGGAGCAGTTTAGCGAGGCCGGCGGTGGTCCTGATGCCGAGGAAGTCATGAGTCCCAGGCTGGAAATTACTTCTCCCCATCTGACAAGTGCCGCGCAGCATCCACCTAGGAAGTCGAGTCTCGAACCGCTGTCGTCGAGTTTAGCGAGCCAATTCCAGGACTTGCAAGGCCTCCACATCTCTGGGGAATCTCCAGCCTCCAGCATTCGCTCCAAGAAGCGCATGTCCGACGACAGAGGGCCTCCTGTCCCGCCCAAGGACCTTCCTCGCGTACCCTCAACCACCCGTCTCCCTGAAGAGCCACCCTCGCAGTCCACCGCCACCGACTCCCCCATGTCTCCGACCCTCTCTCTCCATCGGCCTCCTCCCCCCGAACCGGAGCCCGAGCCCGCATCCCAGTTCGATTTCCACCGCTTCCTCGAGCAACTCAGGAACAAGAAGGCCGACCCCGTGGCTAGGTATCTTAAGTCGTTCCTCTCCGAGTTTGGCAAGAGGCAGTGGATGGTCCACGAGCAGGTCAAGATTGTCAGCGACTTCCTCGCCTTCATCGCGAATAAGATGGCTCAGTGCGAGGTCTGGCGCACCGTCTCCGACGGCGAGTTCGATAATGCCCGCGAGGGCATGGAGAAGCTCGTCATGAACCGTCTTTACACGCAGACTTTCTCGCCGGCCATTCCCCCGCCGCAGCCCATTCCTGGTGCTAAACCTAAGAGGCGCGGTGGGGAGCGTCCTATGGGACCCGGGAGGCGTGGTCAGCACCAGGAAGATGTGGAGAGGGATGAGATTTTGACGCAGAAGATTAATATCTACGGGTGGGTGCGCGAGGAGCACCTTGATATTCCGCCCGTGGGTGATAACGGCAGGAGATTCTTGAGGCTTGCTCAGCAGGGTATGTGAACGTGAACGTGAAAAATGAACGCCCTAGACCATCTCCGGATGAGACAGCAAGCTAACCGCAAAGTGCTAGAACTCTTAAAGATTAAATCCTACAGAGCACCTCGAGACAAGATTATTTGCGTTTTGAACTGCTGCAAAGTCATTTTTGGTAATAAGGTCCTAGTTTCCTCAGGTTAAGAAGATTCACTTCGACTAACTCCGAATGTAGGGCTGCTCAAGAATGCCAAGTCAGATACTTCGGCGGATTCGTTCATGCCTCTTCTAATCTACGTTGTTCTTCAAGCAAATCCTGAGCATCTCGTCTCGAATGTGCAATACATTCTTCGATTCCGAAACCAGGAGAAGCTGGCTGGTGAGGCTGGTTACTACCTCTCATCGTTGGTGAGCTCTAGCCTCACACACGTTCCCGAATTATTTCTTTACTCGGGTGTCGCTAACCCTCGTACCATAGATGGGTGCCATTCAGTTCGTCGAAAACATGGACCGTACGACACTAACCATCACGGATGACGAGTTTGAGAGGAACGTAGAGGCGGCTGTCTCCGCCATTGCGGAAAAGCACCGCCCGCAGTCTCCCACTTCCCCCAAGGCAGGCCCTTCACAGTTCTCGGAGAAGAACCCAAGCACGCTTCAGCCGCCCCAAGCCGGAGAATCATCCACCCGCCGACCCTTGGACGAACCCACCACCCCACGCCGCTCCATTTCGTCCAACGAGGCCGCTGCCGACTCCTCGGGAGGAGAGGACCAGGCAGCCATCACGGGGCTTCTTCGCACCATCCAGAAGCCCCTCTCCACCTTTGGACGAATCTTCTCCGACGAGTCGACGCCGGCTTCCTCTGTTCCTAACAGCGCACCCCGTACTCCCGCACCACCACCGCTTAGCACTTCACCTCGCCCTAGCGGAGACTACCCACCACGGAGAAACAACGCCCAAGCTCTCGCTCCAGCTCCAGCCATCGAGCAAGAAGGTGCTGCTGCTGTTCCTCCAAAGCCCCCTCCGAGACCACCAAGATCACATCTCTCGGCAGAGGAGGCGGCAGCGAGGCAGGCGAGTGCAGAGGCGGAGGAGGCACAAAGGCTGCATCGCGCTGAACATACCAACGTCGTGGAGACTCTGGCCGGTATGTTTCCAGATCTGGATCGGGAAATTATTAGCGATGTGGTGTATCAGAAGCAGGGGAGGTGAGTCGTGTTCTCCCAGTTTCTTCGTGTTTCGGTGTGTCTTTGTTTGCTAACGGTGCTGGTTAGGGTTGGGTTGGCAGTTGATGCCTGTCTTGCGTTGTCGACGTGAAGTGCGGCAAGGATGGTTTAGGCATAGGCCTCGTATGAAACTGGCTCTAGTTGCGGCTTGATCGAGGACTCGTGTGATCCTTATCTACAAGCCTTAATATTCACCCATTACACTTCAGCCTTGAGTCGAGGATATATGCAACAAGGATCTTGCAGCTAAGCGTCTTCGCTGTTTCACTCTTGCTAGCTTCGAATGGCCATTTGGTCCACTGCTCCACCTGATATCGAGGCATCTCTCTTTCCGTCTCCCTCCGTCTCCCTCCCGCTCCAAAGAACGGATCCCACCATCAACTATTCTCAACCTTAGATCTCTTCTCCTGTGTACTCTGTTCTCGTTACAAGAGCTTGTCATAGCTTCGGTCGGGGACCATGGAAACTCAGCATCCAGAAAAGCCTGGCCTACAATCTATCGATGTGAGGTGAGGCTCGTCAGGGAACTGATCTGTTGCTTCACCCGCCTTTGTGTCTACACGTCACCTAGAGTAGCTCTCCTTCTCTCTCTCTACCTTGACTGCAACATCAGGAAGTTGATACATAATGATAATAAAGAAGTCAAAACATTTTGTGCACCCGAACTTCATCTTGCAGACGATGGATCCTTACCACTCAATGTTCATGATTCAAGACCTATGCACACTTCAATGTCACTAGAAGACGTCGTCGTCCACAGACCCCTTTGAGGAGCCTGCCTGGAGCCTGCCGCTGCTTTCCCTCGAGAAGGATAAATATCCTCGATCCCTCTCTCGATGAGCATCATTCTCTTCCTTTTTTTTTTTTTTTTTTTTTTTTTTTTTTTTTTTTTTTTTTTCCCATTCTCACCATACTCATACCCACTCGGTTTAATTTGCTCCTTTACCCACTCTATAGTCTCGAGATTTCGCCCGCTTTAGCACAAGCTCTTCGGCTTTATAACACCTACACCCGATCCCTACTCGGAAGCAAGACTGTCATTTTGCCTCGGATCCTTTCACTCTTCGAGCCTTCGACGTCGTATATATCGCTTCCGGTCTACCACTGGCCTGATCCTCCGGGTTTGTCAGGTCTCACTCATAACAATATCCGGAACGCCCCAGCTCACCTCTTCCATATCAACCATACTCTCAAGTTACCCACGAACCTCCAAGATGTGCTTTCAGGAGGTTTTCCGCCGGCAATGCAAAGGCTGCTCAAGTGTGGTCAACGTCGAGTACGGTTCCATCAGGCCGTACGATTACGCCACGGCAAATAAACCCTGCGACGGTAACTGCCCAGTTGTACCAGAGGACGATTTTTATCAAGACTCAGATGAAATCTGCGATCGTTGCCCGGGCGAGCAGCAATATGACTATCAGAACACGGCGAGCAGCGATACGGCGAAGAGCTACACGACGAGGAGTGATATGACGAGGAGTGATATGACGAGGATAAATCTGGCGAGGACAAATCTGACAAGGCCGTATTTTATGAGGGCGAATTTGAGGAGCACTCCTGGCTCATGTGAAGAACAGAATCGACGGCGGGGAATGGCGGTTTTACGCCTGAAGAGGAAATGAAGGGCCTAACTCTGGCGAGGGAAGAATGTGATACTTATTCTGGGATATTTTGAAGTCTTGGTTTACCTGTCTTCTTGGATAACAGCTTGGATATTATACGTTATACGGCAAGGGCACATTACGGCATTCTCGGTTGCTTAGAGGAAACTGTCTTACTGGCTATTTTCGGATTCGAAAAGCTTTTACACATCTCCCCATGGCCTGTTGACTCGAGTGTGAAAATGTAGAGAGGCTCTTGTAAGTGGCTTGCGGAGGATGAAGCTCTCCAGGCTTTGGAAGTTGGCGATGATCCGTTCAGCAAAGGGAGGTTTGTCGAAAAGGAATACAGTCTTCTACTCCTCATATTCTAAAGCCAATGTAGCCTAGTTCAGCAGAGTCGAGCCGTAACTCTGCATTGCCCCTGATATTAAGGAGAACCAAGTCGAAGCCGTTCACCCATCGACGAGGAGGTTGATCAAAGCATCCACGTGATCTCGGTGAGTGTCGGTGTGATATCGACTTACTCCTTCCACGAATTAAAAGTTCACAAAGCAGAGGTTACGCAGAAGGTCCAGATGAGGGAAAGCTCCAAAAAGGCCCCCAATAAGGCCCCCAATCTCTGCTCAATTCCTGCGAACTCTCTCGGTCGACTGGTCTTTGATTGCTTCTGAGTGTCGACAAGAAGCATAAGCATCCTTGTCCCACTCTTCCTTCGCCGAAAAGCCTCACCTTCGCCCTTTTTTTTTTCCTTACTCCTAGACACGATAAAAGTTGAAACCCCACCAATTCGAAGGAACCCTCGATTCGAAAGACCTCAACCTTCCCGCGCAGAGAGAAAAAAAATCGAATTAAATGCTGCAGTCGTCCCGTCTTTAGCCAGAACCACCATGGCAAGGAAACGGAATCGCCAACCCGGCGATCAATCCGCAGGAGCAGATGCCTCGCCCGCTCTCGATGAGTCTGGCTCCTCGACGCCTCTTCCTCCGAGTTCCGTCGCCGATGCGCAGAGCTCGTCGTCGGTGCCGGTTAGGAAGGATACGAAAGCCGGAAAGGCGAAGAGCAAGCCCGCAGCTCCTTTCTCTCCTTCTCCGTTGATAATATGTCGGAACAAGTACGTAGCGATGTCTCATTTCTTACGGAGGGGCTTGAAACGAGCCGGGTTCTTCCCTCTCGACTAGGAGTCAATCGATATATATGTTACACGTTCGGAGGTTAACAATTGCCCAAGGCATTGGAGGTATATAGCTTGCTTTCACGGCCCCTGGCTCCAAATGCCCATCGAGATCCTCGAAACAATGGCCAGCATAAACTACAACACCCCGCGCCCCCATCCCGTCGACCCCGCCGTCTTCTACGACGTCATCAAGATCCGCAAACTCGTCGAAGAAGCCACCGACCTCGCCGTGCGCGCCGCCTCCGACGCTCCCTCCCAAATGCTACTCAACAGCGGCGGTGGCTTCGGCGGCGGGGGCCCCGCCTCGAGCCTAGGCCTAGGGGGTCCAGGGCCCGGACAACACGGGTCCCGGCTGAGCAGGGAGCGGAAATTCAGGATGAATCTGCAGGCGTGCCAGAAGTTAGCGCGGGCGTACCGGCTCGACGAGATTGCGTGCAGCGTGGCGACTATGCAGGGGGCGTCGACGCTGGATGACATTGGCGCCAACGTGCTGCAGAGGAATAGGGATGAGATTGATGGGAAGTATGTGCATTTTTTTCACGAGAAGATCCCGTCGAGGCAGTTGGCGGATAATACGAGCCTGCAGCCTTTGAACGAGATCATTGCGACTTGTCCGGCGGACCCGGAGCCGTATCGGACGAGGGCTATGATTAGGGGGTTTATGCATAATTTTGAAGGCGCCGTTAGCGATTTTACCAAGGCGCTGGACATTCATCACCTCTACGGGAGGAGACACCAACCTCCCGCTGCCGAGCCCCCTTCTCCATCGAACCAGAACAACGGCCAGGCCAACGGTAAGCGTGCTCCAGATGTGAGGCTAAGTGAGGAAGAGCAGCCTACCAGCCTTATACCGCAGCTCCTCTTCATGCGGGCCTGCGCCTATCTCACCCTTGCGTGCGACAACGTCCGCGACACCGTAACCGTCACGGAAGCCGATTTCCCCGGCATCCCGTTATCCGCCTTCCTTGCAGACTCCAGGAACGACGGCCACGACGAGCCCTACCCCTTTGCCAGAACTGACCTCACCGACGCGGAGATCCTCGTGTCCCGCAGGTTGGTCAAGACGTACGCCAAGCGCGCTCTCAAAGATTTCCTGGCCTTCCTCTCCCACCTAGACTATACCCCCCACATGCCCCAGGAAGCCGTCAACGACTTTACCGAAAAGATCGGCCAGGCTGCCTCGGGCACCAGGAACCCCCGCAACCACCAACAACATCACTCTGGCGGTGCTCATAACCTAACCCCGCAAGTCATCTACTCCGTCTCCGACCTCTTCGCCGCCACTCCTCCAGCCAATCTCCCTCCTTATCCCCCTCCTGACCTCCTACCTACCGCCTCTCTCCCTAAAACCCCGACAAACGAAGCCTGCACTTACCATCCCCTCCTAACCGAAGCCCTCCACTCCCTCCTCCTCTGCCACGCCCTCCTCCAAACCTCCCGCACAGAACTCATCCGCCACGCGAACAACGTCGCCCGCCTCGCCCGCCTCGCAGATGCCTACCCCGTCTTCCAAGCAAGTCGCTCCGCCGCCCGCGCGGACTGGGTCGACGTCGTAGAGAAAACAGACCTCTCTTCATCCTTCTGTCGATCGTGGGACATCCTATGCTCGCCCGCCCCTCTACCATCTTCTCCTCCTTCTACGGAATTAATCCCCTCCTCCTCCTCTTCCTCCGCCGCCATCACCACCACGAACGGGACCGCTAACCCCCGCGACCACCCGCCCTTCACGAAGCATCACCAGCAACGCGCGCTAACACGCTGGTCCGTCACCGACGACGGGAAGGAATATCCCATCGTCACGGATAGGGCGGTCCTCGTCGCGCGATGGATGAGGGACGTGCCCTTCGTGGCTGCAGGCACCGCCAAGAAGAAGAAGCGGAAGAATGTGCCTGGTAGGAAGACACGGGGTGGTTCTGGGGAGGGGGATGTGGATGGTTTGGCTGATATCGCTGGCGTTGAGGTTGTCTGAAGGGAGATAAGACGCTTCGTCTTGAGTTTGAATGGGGGTACGGGAGTATGCATAGGGAATTACTGGGATTGGGACCGTTTTTGTTTCTTTCGGTGTTACTTGTGTGTGTGTGTGTGTGTATGTGTGTTTGGACCGTTCTGTCCGTCAAGTGGTAACGCGGGATCAGCGAAAAACCAAAAAAAAAAAAAATACGAAAAGAAGTATATAGAACCCTTTTGAGGAAACAGCGTCGTCTATCTCCATCCAAGCGATCCGGATTCGAACAGACGAGTAGATCAAGAAAACAGACTCTAGCGACTACTCATACATAGCTCCTCGCTTTGAGAAATACATTTCCAACAAATCAGTTTTCTCTTTTCCAACGTTTGGTACACAGGAGTATTAGAGACGTCCACATCCTTATTCCATAACAAATCCTCCCGGTTTCCTGTAGACTGCTCATTTCAATAGTAAAAAAAAAAAAGAAAAAGAAAGAGAAAAAGACGGAGGGAAGAAAAAAAAGGTCGTGAGCCTCCAGGGTATATATAGAGATAAATAGTCTCAACTACTACATCCACCTTTCAAACTGCTCCAATATCCAAGTCTCCCTCTCCTCCCATCTACTCTCCATCATTCTCCAAATTCACCCCTTTTCCTCAATTCTTCCTTCACCCCCATGCCACCGTATGCACCGGCCCACCCATACTCAACAAGGCATCAATCTCCGTCAACCCATCGTTCTCCAAAGCCTGCATCAGCTCCGTATGCTGCTCTTGACTCAAACTCCCCTGCCTCTGAAACGTCTGCGTAAACTGGCTTCCGAACGGCGAAACGAGCCCCCCCGGTCCCATGCTCGTCGGCGACGCGAAGGCCTGGGCGTTAATGTCGCCGACGAACGGGCTGCCGGTGGGTCCAAAGGCGAAGGGCGAGACGAAGGGAGGGGCCGGCGGCGCGAACCAGTTCGGCATGGTCGTCGGCGGCATGTGATGATGTGGCGCTGGTGGCGGTGGGGCCGCCCCTGGTGGTGGAAGTTGTTGGGGTGGAAGCGCGGGTTGAGATGTCGGGCCCACCATGTTAGTGAAGTTGGGGGAGCGGTGAGCCGGTAGTGGTTGCTGGTGTGCTATATTCCCGGGTGTTGATACTCGCGACGCCGGAGACGAGATGCCCACGGATGCTGCCATCGTCATGGGCGTCGAGACCACGGATGGCGGCGTCTGGTGAGTCAGGACGGGTGTCGTCGTCGGAGGCCCCGTGTACGCGGGAGGAGTCATCGTCGGCGGAGGTTCGATGGACTCTGGCGGCGTGGGGAGCGAAGAACCCCCAGACCCGTCCGGCGGAGTGGCGTGGTTGATTGGTGTTGTCGTAGCGGGCGGGGTCGCCTCATCTCCGCCTTCGGGAGGTACGTCCGGAGCAAAGTGAGAGAACCTCCGTCCGCCACCCTCGGAAGACGGGTTGAAGAAGATGGAGTTTGATCGGAATGTCGGTTGATGTGGGGTTATGGGGTGTTGCTGCGGAAAGGGCGACCCGGTAAAGGAGAAGGGCCCCCCGGAGTTCATCGAGTTGGGCTGCTGAGGGTTGTTGTTGAAACTGTAGCCAAATTGAATACCGCCCCCGCCGCCGTTGTTAAAGTTTTGCGGAACGTGTGGCTGACCAGCAGCTTGGGATGAAGGGTGTGCGCCATCTGCCGCTGTGGGTGGCGGTGGATGCGCCTGGGCAAAAGCCGCTGGCGTGTTGTTGAAGGTGCTCGCAAACACGTCTTGCGGTCCGCCTTGCGTTTCGTACGATTGCATGCAAGCCCTGGAGAGCACAGAATACAAATTCGCCGCCGCCTCAGTTCCAGGCCACCGGTCAGTGCACTGCTCGAGGATGTCAAGCGTCACATCGACCAGCTCCTCAACATCCTCACGCGCATGGGCCTGGCGGATGTTGGCGTAAGAGACGGACCATAGTATGACATTCAGCGACATGTAGAGATTGAGGAGGAAGATCCACGTAACATCCGTCGCGCCCTTTTCCATCTGTTGCCTCGAGAGGCTGATGATATAAGCCGCGGCATCGTAGCAAATCTCAGCTGCCCGAGGTGACGGCTGGGTCACCTGTGGGGACGGCCGATAGAGGAAGATCTTTAATTGACAGTACCGTCCACTAAACCTATATTGGGATTCGATATTAGCTCGAGGGAGAAGAGAAACGGGGTACGGCGTTTCGGGGATATGAGAGAGAGAGGCTGAAACGATCGACATACCATGGCTTACACCACGCCGGATCTGTTGGCGCACCATCATGCCATTCCTGAATTTTCTTTTCCATGCTAGCAAACCAAGGGTCGGAATCATGCAAGGGCCCACGGTCTACAGACTCGTAGAGCACACGTCTGATTTCCGCCTGCACCATCCTCATCTTGAGGAGGTAAATGGCCACGACCTTCTTCTCGCACTCTGGGCCCGGTAGGATGCCATCGTCCGTGATACGCTCATCGGGTGCGGTCGAGAAGAACCCCAAATCGACCTCATCGTGGCTCTGGGCAAACGCGTTTGGCCGCCCCATTGTATGCGAGAGGCCGAACTCCATGGAAGTAACTATCCAACTGAGTCGACGGCGCATGTCAAGCACAAGGGGACTCTCAAGACCTTGATTGTATGCCGTCGTTATCGTCTTTTCAAAGCAGAGACCGGTGGCTTGGCAGATTCGCGTGGCCAGACCGATGACGAAGTAGATGGCCATTCGGGTAGGCGCGAGAATAGAGTATTGCGCCACGAGGATAAGACACTGAAGTGCCTTCAAGTCTCTCGGGCGGACAACCTCCTCAAATAGCTGCATCGCTGCAAGGTAGTAGCTATCCGCAAGGCCGGCATATTGAGGATCAAGCTTGTGTAAGCTGATGGCTATGACCATACGCACAACGTAGTTTTTGTAGGGATCGTCGCTTCCGGCGTATACATCTTCGAGATCCTTGGCGAACTGCTGTTCATGGATCACAGGCCAAAACATGGATGCTATAGTAATCCACAATGTTAGTACGACAGATAGACACCTTGCCGCCGATGTTTTTTCCCCCTCACTCCGGCAGGAAGACTATTATTGGATTCGGTATCGTCGCTTACCTCTTTGTGAAAATATCTCGACCAGGCGGGTGACAAGTGGCCTGGACGGCAAACTCGGCGCCGGGTGCTCGCTAAACATCGGATACGTGCTCTTCCTCCTTGCCGGAGGGGTGTTCGACATGACAACGGACTGCATCCGAGCTTCTCTCCTCTCTCTCCTCGCGCGGACTTCGGGGATCAGCTCGGAAATCCTCTTTGAGTCGGTAAAGAGCTTAGCTTCTTCCATGAGTAGACGGGACATGGCGATGCCGCTGCTTGGACCGAGGTACCGAACAGATTCGTCTCCGGCGCTGAGGCGAACAAAACCGCCGCGACGCACGAGCTCCTCGCGGTTATGGGAAAAGTCCCCTTCCTCCTCGGTTAAGGTCCTCAGCTCGGCCTCGAGCTGACGGACCTTATCCTGGAGCGTGATTACATAGTGGCGGCTTATCAGCCTTCCTCGCGCGGTATCGTAGTACTCGCAGGGGACACCTGACCGATCGCAAGGCAAGCATCGAGGGAGTGAAGGGTCGCATCTTGTTTTTCTCTAAAACAGGAGAAAAAGAGATGACACGCGGTTAGCAAACGATGCAAATAGTAGAGGAGAGCTAGAATAGGTAATATTCTGCGGTAACGGGAAACTCGGGGCAATTGCAGAAGCTGTCGCAGCGCAGTCGGCAAAGATTGCGGCAAGGGGAAACGACGGGGATGGGTCTCAGGGACTCAAAAGAACATCGCGCCCAGAAGCTAACATACCTTGCGGCACCGACAGCAAGCTGTCAGGGTATGAGCAACACGATTAGAATTTCCGTCCGTCTCAGAAGCATCGTCACGGCGATGAGTGTGCTGCGATGGGTGCGTCGACGGAGGTGGAGGGGCTGGATAGCCTCGTTGGAAAACGAAGGCGGGGTCCATGTGTGCTGGAGGAAAGCTTTGAGCACACATAGGATCCTGCGTCGAGTGTCTGGATCGCGTTTCTCTCAAGTGTCCGATATTAGCTTCTTCTTTTCTTTTTCTTTTTTTTCGTCCTTTCCGAATGTACGTGCCCGCGTCCCGCCAGTGGTTGGTAGAATGGGAGTGTCGTTAAGTGCGTCGCTCAATGTTGTTGAGTTCAAATTAGGATGACGTCTGTTCGGGGTAAATGTCCGTTTCTCCTTTTGGCGCCAATTTTTAACCGTGTTTCAACACGAAAGTTCGCAGTGTTCCTCTCCGCCCGCGAACAATAACTGTGCTTAACCTTTCTAGGAGATCGGGTAGTTAGGATTATCTTCCGAATGCGAGGGGCAGCACGCCAAAACGGTATGCCAGTACTCGAGACAACAGCCAACTTCGGAGGCCCCTTGGTGCGCTAGAATATGTAGTAAAGGAGTGTCGGTGCTGAACAGGACTGAGACGAGCCCGAAAGCCTGTCACCAACAATTCCCAGAATGACAAGGCGGGTGGAGGGGGAATCGGTTTGTGAACCTGAGCGATGAAATGAGGCTGCAAGGTGTGAGCCGGGGTTCATTCAATACGAAAACGATGAGCAAACTGAGGTCGTCCCCACGCTTTACTCGTGGTCTCTCGTGACTCTTGAGTCTTGGTGTTCTTTAGGGTCTGCCCAGACCAGACCTCATCCGTTCGATAATTGTTCGACCGTAATGCAGACTTGCAGAGAAGGGACCGGGGTTTCGCAAAAGGCCAGGCCAGGCGGCAGCTTAACCAAGATGTGGCGACGCGGGGCTCTGGCGGTATTACGAAGTATTTATGAAGTTGGGGTGCGAAGTAATTACTCACGTATTGCGTGTGCACAAGTACATTGATGCTAGGTTGGGTGAGAGCACGAGCTCTAATGTTAGAACCGAGTTGATCAGAAGCTGGAAAAGCCCTTCAACCCCGCAAGTTCTCATCAATGCTAGCTGCGTTCGGCGTCGACCTGACCAAAGAGAGCATAAGAGAATGGGTCTGTGAGAATAGGGGATCGACTGGCGCTGCTTCATACGAGACAGACTGTACGAGCAAAAGGTGCAAAAAGCAATGGTGGTCTCCGTAATCGCCATGCGTAGTCTAGCGCCTCGAGATGATTGATTTTGGGGGATGCTGTTAGTGATATTGTTGCTTAATTAGGAAGAAGGCTTCTTCCTGGGAACAGTGTTCCTAAACTATCTACTATTTCAGTAGAGGTTTAGTAGAATCAACTAGAGTAAACCAGCTAATCAGAGCTTAGTTCCTATACCCCCCCTTAAACTAAGCTAAAGTAGTTATCTATAAAAGATAAAAGAAACTAAAAGTATAAATAGAAATAATAGCTTTTTCTATATAAAAGTATTTTATAAAACTAAAGCTAGGATCCTATTTTAATAATTAAATAAATAAACTTAAATAAGTAAAATAAATATTTTCTTTTTTATCTAAAACCTAATATAATATTATTTTATCTTATCTTTCCTCTTTATCTTCTTTTTTAATATAAAACTTTATTATACCCCCCCTAGATATTATATTTAACTAATATAGAAAGTCTATATATTTATTTTTATTAAATAGCTTTATTATTTTATTAATAAATATTTCCTTAATTCTAATATATTATAAATTAAATAATTTCTATTTAATAATCTTCTTAATAATCTATTTAAATTTTATATTAATATATTTAATATAAATAATATTTAATAGGTTTATTATTTAAATATAAATATTCTAGCTATTTATTAATAAAATTAATAGCTTTTTAATTTTTCTTTTTAATTAAAGCTATTTAAATAGTTTTTTAATTTAAAAAAGTATTTAGCTTATAAATAATAAATTAATAAACTTAGATTTTACTATAAAAAAAATAATATAAAATTATTTACTACTTTTTTATAATATTATAGCTTTTATTAGGAATATAATATATCTAATAATTATAATTCTAATATTATTATCTATAAAAGATATATTTAATATTATATAAAATCCTACTATAATTCCTTTAGTTTTTCTACTATTAAATATAATTTTATAAGACTTTATTTTTACTAAATATTATAGTAGATATTTTACTATTATTATATACTATAGTAATAGTTTATAATTTACTTTAGAGAGCTTATTTACTATATAGGATATATTAGGTTTTATATTTATTATTAAGTAGTTTAGGCTACTAATTTTCTATTAATAGTTAAAGATTTATTTAAAATTTACTTTTTTTTCTAGTAAAAGGAAAGGTAATTTAAAAGATAGTAGTAATAAAGTAATTACTATATTTACCTTTTTTATATTAAAATAAGTAAAGATCTTATTAATATACTTTTCTTAATATAGTTATAGTTATTAGTTTTCTTTATTTTAAATTATTTAAAAACTTAAAAAATTTTTTATAGACTTTATTTCTTTTAGATTATATATTATTTTTAATATATTTTTAATATCTATAATTATTTCCTTTATTAAAGCTATAATTAAGTAATTATTTATATAAATAAGTATTATTATTTTTATATTAGTATTTTTTAAAATATATAGTTTTCTATTAATTAAGATAAAGCTTATCTTTTTTATCTTTTCTATAATATAACTAAATTACTATAAAAGTATTTAGTAAAAGCTATAGAGGGCTTTACTAATTAGATATACTTAGTTATTATTAAGATCTTTAAATCTAGTTAGTTACTAGATATAAACTTTTACTTTTTCTAAAATATTAGCTATAAAGAATATTATATTAAAGTTAAATACTTTATAAAGCTATCTTAAAATAGTAATATAAGTAAAGAAGATCTAAAAGCTTAATATCTATATAATTATAAAATATAGTTAAAAAGTATTTTAATTTTTTAATTAAAAGTTTTTATAAGTAACCTATTAAGTTTAATATTTAATAATATTTTTATTATTATCTATTTTAATATTATAGACTTATTTTCTAAATAGAACCTTTATATTAGATAATTTCTTTATAAAAATCTATACTTATTAGTTTTCTAAAACCTTCTTTTATCTTTTTATTACTAGGAGCTAAACTTCTTTATAATTAGATCTTATAACTACTTCTTTATATAATTTAGGAATAGCTATATTAGAAATAATTGTATTTACTATTAGAAGAGCTAATAATAGGTTTTTAAGTATATAAGGGGTAAGGATATCTTCTTTAAAGATATAATTATTAAAAACTTATTTTTTTTAGATAAAGTAGATTTTCTTTTTTATTATAGATCTATTAAATTTAAAGTTATTTATAATAATAATATTAATATATTCTAGTATAGTATATTAGATTAGTTTAGATATTATTTCTAATATTAGTTATTATAGTTAAATATTATTATAATATTTCTAGACTTATTTATATTTAGAAGTTTAGGTTAAGAAGATTATTAACTATACCTATTAGGAAGTTAGTTTTATTATTAAATTTTTTATTAATTTTATTATCTTTATTTAGATTTAAATAATTTAATTATAGAAGACTATATTAGCTTTACTTATCTATTCTATTTCTTTTAAGACTTTTTTAAAGGGAGAAAATATAATTTTATAAAACTTTATATCTTTTATTTAAAAGATTTTAGCTAATTTTAGTACCTAGATACTATAAATATAATTATATAGATTATTATAGTTTATAAGGTATCTTTTTATTATCTAAAAAACTATTTTATCTACCTTTTTAAGTTAATAACTTCCCTTTTTATAAATATAAGTAATATATCTAAAGGTTTTTAAATATTAAAGAAATAGCTATCTTTCTTTTTTAAGAAGATTAAAATATATTATTAATTTCTTATATAAGCTAATAAATTTTTTATTAATAGATATAGGAAGTAGGTTAAAGATTATTACTATTATCTTTAGGGTATAGATAGATAGTTTTTTAAGTATTTTAAAATAGATTATTAGTATTTATATTATTTTAATTAAGATTTTTCTTTATTATTTTATAATATTATTTTAGGTAAAAGTATTAGAAAGTATAATATAGAGGGCTATATTCTTTTTATTTAGAATATTTTCTATTAGTAGATTAGAAATCTTTTTTTTTCTATTTATATAGATATTTAATATTTTAAAATCTATTTAGGTTTCCTAAAATATTATAAAATCTATTATAGCTTTTATTATTATTTTAGCTACTTTATTTTTAATATTATAAAGCTACTAGTATATAGTTTTTCTTTTAAAGATATAGATAATATAGTAAAACTTTAATATTAAGAATAGCTTAACTTTTATTAAATCTATATAGAAATCTTTAGGTTCTTTAAGTTTAGGGAGCTTTATTTAATTAACTATTTTAATAGACTTAGCTAAGTAATATACTTTATAATAAAAGAAATCTATATCTTCTTAATTAAATTTAATACCTATAGCTTTATAAGCTTTTAAGATTTTAGACTTTTTAGTATAGCTAAGATATTTATATATTAGTTTATATAGTATATTCTTAATTTTAGTTTTAATTTTAATTTTATTTAATATTAAAAATAAAAAAATAAATATTAGTTTATTATCTTTTTTTTAATTATCTTAATTATTTATTTTTTTATAATCTAGTTAATTATTAATA